ATGGGCCTCTCTCCTTTTGAAATCATGTACGGGCGACCACCTCCCGTGCTTGGTAACTTAAGGGGGGATTTGAGTCAGTTGGGAGAAGGAATTACCCGGCAGCAGGTTGTAGAGTTGGGTAAGACTATGGAGGAGGTACAGAAATGGGTACAAGATAGATTACCTGTGAATATTTATCCCCCAATTCATAGTTACCACCCAGGCGACCAAGTGTGGATTAAAGAGTGGAATAATGTGCCGTTAGGGCCCAAGTGGAGAGGTCCTTATGTTGTTCTTCTGTCTACCCCTACAGCGATAAAAGTAGCCGAAGTGGCTCCGTGGATACATCACTCCAGGGTTAAACCAGCAGCAGCCGATTCCTGGCAAGTTACAGCAAATCCAGAGAATCCCTGCAAGATCCGGTTAAAACGCACGACTCAGTCGGAGTGACGAGGAACCTTGTAGATTACAAATTTTATTGTTTCAGAGACTTGGTAAGTGAGTGAGAAGGCCATAATAAAGCCTGTCCACTCACCAACGAGTGTATAAGTCAGGGAAAGTCTTGAGGGGACCCCTGTGAAGACGAGCAGAACTCCATTCCCTGCAGTCCTTACATCCTGGAAGCTGAGGTGCCTTCACACGGACGAAGACTGAGGATGACGACGAAAGATGTATTTTTAATAATGTTTATTTATGTGTATTTTTATATTCAGGAAGGTAGAGGTACCAACACTCCTAGCTGTGAGGTATGCATTAAGACTACAAGAACAGGTAACCATATATCCCAGACCCTAATTTGGCATTCGCAATATGAGTGTAAAGGAGATGTATCAAGATGTAGATACTTAAATATAGAATATAGTGTGTGTCATTTAGGAGTAGGAGAACCTAAGTGCTTCAGTCCTGAGTATCAACCCCGTACAATTTGGTTGACTCTCAGAAATGGAGATTCTCAGGGGACCCTAATTAATAAGACGGTATTAAAATCCGTATATTCTTCAGGTGCTCTGCTATTTGATGCGTGTAAAGCAATATCAAGTGGTAGAAAGCCGTGGAATGTATGTGGGGATCTTAGATGGGAGAGGACGTATGGGTCTAACGATAAATATATTTGTCCCAGTAGTAAAAATAAATATGTAAGTCCAAGATGCCCAAATAGAGATTATAACTTCTGCCCATATTGGTCTTGTGTGGGGTGGGCGACTTGGGGACAGACAGCAGACAAGGACATGATTGTGACTAAGTTGCCTACTGTTACGGACCGTTTTGCACACAAGGGGTAAAAACCGTTTAGGCGATCGGCCCCCTTTCCAGAGATACAGGCACAGCTACTGCAGAACATCAAACTCCCAAACTGGATACAAAATAGCACTCCAACTCCCGAACTGGAACCTCCCAAATAGCTGCTAGCAGACGAACAGGAAAAGCTCCCAAGCAGCTTACACTCCTGGCAATCAGTCTCTAACAGCATACAGTGAATCCCCCCAAGAACGAGACAAGGCTCTGTGTTGAGGATCAAGCAGTGGTCTGAGGTGCTGGCACACCCAGCCTGGTTTTTATTACAGTGTTTCAAATACAGGACCACCCACAGGGAGGGATAAAACAACCAATCATATCACAGTTACATCCCACATATTCCCTCCCCTTATCCTGAGAGGAAACTCAATTATACAAACAGTTAAAACATACTTTCTACCCAACTTTCATAACTCCAAAACCATACATCACATTCACATAAAATTACATATTCTCAATCAATCCATTCAGGGGAACAACATATTCAAAAATGGCACAAATCAGACAAGGGGTTCAAAAGTTAGTAAAAAGTCCTTTGTGACTAAATGAAGCATGGCTTTCTGGCCCAAACCAGTTTCAGAGTCTTCTATCCTGGAGATAAGTAATTCAATTATCTCCCAGGACAGACACAAGACTCCATTAAGCACATGGTTGCAAAGAGACACAAAACACTTTAAAATACATAAAGTCACATTTATTACATAAAACACAGACATGTAACATATCCCCAGATAGCTCAGGTCCGAGCGCACATTATTAAGTGAATGGCGCTCAGACCACACGAATACAGTTTAATCGCCATGGAGCTAAAGTCTTTACAGTCAGTTTCATACAAATGGGCTCCATGGGATTCCTATCTGGGGTATAACACATTCAAACAAATCTACCGAACCCCAGGCAGAAAAGCACGAATACAGCTTTTCTGCAGGCAAAAATAAAGTCTTTTAAAAGGGGGCCATAGTCCAAAGGCAGCAGGTGAGCAACCAGGCTTCTCCAATGCACTGTGGCGAGATTGGTCTCGTCACACCTACTAATCCATATTGTAAGTCTATGGAATGCAATCCAATCCATATACTTATAAATAACCCTGACAAGTTCTTAGATAAATATGGTAATTTATTTGGGTTTCAAATATATGGGACGGGTTTAGACCCTGGGACAATATTGTTTATAGGGATAGAGACTGATACGGTAACCTCCCAAACTCATCAAGTATACCATTCCTTTTATGAAGAGATGAGCATAGATAATAAGATCCCCCATAATGCTAAAAACTTGTTCATTGATTTAGCCGAGAGTATTGCCGGTAGTCTTAATGTTACCAACTGCTATGTGTGTGGAGGTACTAACATGGGAGACCAATGGCCTTGGGAAGCAAAGGAGGTAATGTCCGGTTCTGAGGCAGTTGACCAATTAATATCTACACAAGCCGACTATCATATGAGTGTTAGAGGTAAATCTGAGTGGAGATTGAAGACCTCCATCATAGGTTATGTTTGCATAGCGAGGAAAGGAATGATGTATAATACTTCTGTAGGAGAATTAACTTGTCTAGGGCAAAAAGCTTATGATGATGATACAAAGAATACAACTTGGTGGTCGGCTTCAAATGTCTCAGAACCATCTAACCCGTTTGCAAGATATGCCAATTTAAAGGACGTATGGTTTGATCTATCCATCACATCTAACTGGAGAGCCCCAGCGAATTTGTACTGGATCTGTGGTAAGAAGGCCTATTCGGAGTTACCACAGGACTGGGAAGGGGCATGTGTGTTGGGTATGTTAAAACCATCCTTCTTCTTGTTGCCTATTGAAACAGGTGAGACTTTAGGTGTTAAAGTGTATGATGTGAATCATAGGAAGAAAAGGGGACCCATAGAGATAGGTGCCTGGGAAGATAATGAATGGCCTCCCCAGCGTATTATAGATTATTATGGGCCAGCCACGTGGGCAGAGGATGGTACCTTTGGTTATAGAACCCCTATTTATATGCTCAACCGCATTATAAGGTTACAGGCGGTGGTTGAGATCATTACTAACGAGACATCACAAGCGCTCAATCTTCTAGCGAAGCATAATACCAGGATGAGGACAGCAGTTTACCAAAATAGATTAGCCTTGGATTATCTTTTGGCAGTAGAGGGAGGTGTATGTGGGAAGTTTAACCTGAGCAATTGCTGTCTTCAAATAGATGACGAAGGGCAAGCAATAGCTGAGCTTACTAGCCATATGGTTAAACTAGCGCATGTGCCTACTCAGGTATGGAAAGGGTACAATCCAAGTAGTTGGTTTGGTAGCTGGTATGAGTGGTTTGGAGGGCTTAAGGCAGTGGTAGGTGGAGTCCTACTGATTTTAATGTTGTGTCTACTCCTGCCGTGTCTTATACCCTTAGTAGTTAGGTCTGTGCAAAGCCTGATAGAAAATATAGCAGAGAGGAAGGCTGCTGCACAGATAATGGCAATTTATAAATATAAGGCTCTAGATCAGGGAGAACCAATGCAGGAAGACGAGTGTTGAAGATTCACATCGTAGGATAAGTCTGGTCTGGTTCAAAGGTAACTTGTGGTGTATGCAAACCAAGGTTAAGTGATGCCTCAAGTAATTGTAAAATATCAAGAGGCATCAAAGGGGGGAATGTGGTGGAATCTCGGTAAAAATAAATTTAGTAGGCCGAGATTACCACGTGGCATGTGTACGTGCATATGCTGACGTATCGATCAGTTGGTTGCACGAGGCAAGATACGATCAGTAGTGTACGGAGCATGTGCAAGAATACAGGATGTAGTATTCCCCTCCTCCATTGTGCTGGACAAGCCATGCGGTCAAGCAGGAAGTTAATTCTTATTTGTAATGATTGGTCAAGAGAATGTGCGGGTGGAGCTTAATATGGGAGGAGTTATGTGCCTATATAGGGAGCCTGCACTATTGTTCAGGGCTCAGAACTTGCTGTATTTTTGGTGACATTAGTCCCTCTGAGTCCCGATCGGTGATCCAATAAAGAATCTCTTCCTTCCTGAAGAAACCTGTGTCCATCCCTCTGTGCTTTGCTTCCGTCAGTTTCTCCGGTATCAGTAGACTTTTTCCAAGCCAGCACATTGTTATGTAAATTTTGCAAATTTGTTTTGAGTTTACTACTGTTTGCAGGATTATTCACTAAACTCCAAATCGTAGCAAATTAAAATCTAAATGGCATAATGTAGATCAAAACAGCAAAGCTATGACCGTAGCAGAGTTGAAGAATCATCCCATTCCCAGGCCAGCTATTTTACCTACATGGTGTCATTAAGATTTCTGTTTGCTACAAATCAGAGTTCAGTAATTAAAACCCTTTAATGTTTTTTTCTGTTTCTGCTTTTTCTTAATTAAAAAATAATAATAAAAAAGTGTAATTTGCTCTTAGTTTCTGACAGTTCGCACAGCCCTGTCTATATATCTTTGAAATAGTGAATAAAAACTACTAATAGAAATTCGATAACTGTTAGCTGTTGCCCTGGCTTTTGCCCACAGTTTAAATGGAGACTCTTGTCGCGAGAGACGTAGCAGCCAAGAAGCATCTTGACGTTCGGGGGCGGGACTTTAAACGAATACCTGTCTCCTAGTAACAGTTTTTCTGTCTCCTGATTGGATAGAATCTCCCTTCCGCTTTTTTTCAAACTGGCGGCTCGGCGGTTGGTGTTGCTGTGACGAGCGCTCCATCTCTCCGGTGTTCTATTATAAAATACAAAATGGAGGGCGATGAGGTCATGGCGCCCCCAGCAGACCCCTCTCCGCCCAATGAGAACGTGAAACCCAAAAAAAGAAACGGTCCTAGAAGGAAAGCTTCCGTCAGCAGCTTGGCGGGGCCGACCACCCCGGAGGGAGGCAGCTCCAGCAGGTACGGACTGACACACAGTGTAATGGGGGTGGGGGACATGCTGGGGGTGATATGCCAGTCACTGAGTCACTGACTGACTGAACCAGATTAGCTGGACATCGAGCTGAGCTGAGCTGAGCTGAGCATGTCCTGTTACTCTGTGTTATGATATAGTAATGATGTGATGGCTGAGATTTGTTGTCCTGGTTGGATTAATCCTCTGTAATAGCTCCATGGATGATCTGGCTGGCTGAGCATTGTGGGCAAGGAGGGTGGAGTAGCAGATCAAAGCAATCACTGCACTCTCAGTAAGGAAGCAGGCTGAGCATCATGGGTAATGTGGTCCACAGCAGATAATGCCCAGCAGACAGCCATCACTGCTTTACAGTGACCTGTAGGTTGGCAGTTTATAGCATTTATTCCAGGATTATCCCTGGCTCCATGTATAAGCAAGCCTTCTCTGCTCAGTGACAGGCAGGACCCAGTGCTTCCAGTGACATGGGATGGGTAGTCAGACACTGGGTTGTTGCTTTTATTTGTGTTGTGTGTAAAAACCCACAAAGTGCAATGTAGATCTAAGTGGGAGAAAAAAAAAGCATTTCAGTTTTGTACAGCAGAATTGGCCCAAGTATGCCTCATTCATGAACTGTTAGGATGCAAATGACCTATGACAATTTACAGTTACAAGCTTGAGTATGATTTGGTTTGTGTGTGTGTGTGTGTGTGTGTGTGGTTTTTCTTGTGTCAACATTTCAGGTTACCTTTTTATATTTTAAAGGACCACTCTAGGCACCCAGACCACTTCAGCTTAATGAAGTGGTCTGGGTGCCAGGTCCTTCTAGGGTTAACCCATTTTTTTATAAACATAGCAGTTTCAGAGAAACTGCTATGCTTATGAATGGGTTAAGCCTTCCCCCTAATCCTCTAGTGGCTGTCTCATTGACAGCCACTAGAGGCGCTTGCGTGCTTCTCACTGTGATTTTCACAGTGAGAGCACGCAAGCGTCCATAGGAAAGCATTGTAAATGCTTTCCTATGCGACGGGCTGAATGCGCGCGCAGCTCTTGCCGCGCGTGCGCATTCAGCCCAGGAGGAGGAGGAGAGGAGGCAGAGAGCTCCCCGCCCGGCGCTGGAAAAAGGTAAGTTTTAACCCCTTTACTCTCCCCAGAGCCGGGCGGGAGGGGGACCCTGAGGGTGGGGGCACCCTCAGGGCACTATAGTGCCAGGAAAACGAGTATGTTTTCCTGGCACTATAGTGGTCCTTTAAGGGTTCTAGGCTTAAAGGGACAGTCCACCGCCCAAATAATAAACACAATCTCTATTTTGGATACAAAAGATCGAGGTTGGTGCACACAATGGATAACTTTGCAACAATCTGTAAATAAATATAACAGAACCTTCATAGGGCAACATATATAAGAAAATAATCAAATAAGTGTAACTGTAAACACTCACAATTTTGAGCCATATAAGTCGTCCCTCTACTGTAGTAGCATGTAAGTAATTCCAATACGACAAATAGCTGCAATGATGGTGGTCCCCCCCCCAGGAAAAAGCTTCAACTTCACCTGGATAGAAGTTCAGGAACCAAGGATAGCTAAAATAGCTCTTTATTAAATGAAGGTAAACATAAAAAGTACTAGCACAACGCGTTTCGACCAACACACTGGTCTTCCCAGGTGCAATAAAATCAAATGAAAATAACAGGTTTAAATACCTTGCAAACAGAGTGAAAATACAAAACACATGCAAATAATTACAGAAACCCTTCCCAACATGTCCATATATGGTAGTTACGTTTGTACCATTCCTCCTCCAGTATGGTGGATATGTGATATGTCCTCACTGATATCCATAGGGAACCGACCTCTTCATAATGGCCGCACGGACAGGACGCCGGTAGCAATCACGTGACTTCCGTCATTACAACGGAACGTCACTTCCGGTTTGCGTCATAACATCACTGCCGGTTAGCGGTCGTTCGGGAAAGGGAAGGGACGGTACACCCTCACCATAGTTTAGTTTCAATCAGGAGAGCGTAGTTAATATGTCCTAATTGGTCCGAAAAGCTCATAATCCGCCATATTGCAGGCTTGGTGCCCCCATCTTGTCCAATCTGCTCATCCACCTTCCATACCACCAATTTGTGCCCCTCAGAAGCCGATCCCTCCTTATACTCAAACCACCCAGTTGGGTCCAACAAGCCTCACCAGCGCGGCTTAAGACAAGCTCGGACGACGCATTGTTTACCTTGGCAAAGCACAAGTCTGCAATAATTTTAATGCAGGAGTGTGCAGTTTCAGTGCCTGCAGATTACTGCACATGTGCTCCATATGCTTTAGGGCTCATGCTAAATCCCAAAACAATGACTAACTGAGGTGAAACATAGGGAATTTGGCATTCTACTTGAAGTCTCATCCATCCCTTCACTTGGTGGAATACGTAATTCACAGGGTTTCCATACTGGGCTAGTGTCACTCTCCGTAGGTACTTTAGAATGTCCTAACCTCCTATCTGCGGTACACGAACCACAAACAGTGGATGATCTTATTGGGAAGGAAGTTCAAAAGGGTTTCATGATGGGCCCCTTTTCCTCCTGGCGCACAAATCCGATTGGAATAGCTACTAGTAAATACTCTAATAAAAAAAAAAAAACTCTTATCATTGATCTGTCGTCTACAAACCAAAGCCTAAACTCCCTCATACTGTCCACTGAGTTCTCTCTACACTATACCACCGTGGATAATACTATACAGGCAATCTTGAAAGCTGGTAAAGCGGCATGGCTCAGCAAGCCCGATATCACCAATTCTTTCAAGTTGCTACCTATCCATCCCTCTTTATGGCATGTTCATTGGGTTAAGTGGAGAGAGAAAGATTACTTCTCTACCAGATTAGTTTTTGGGGCAAAAGGTAACCCCAAAATCTTTGACACGTTTGCCGAGACTCTCTGCTGGCATCAACATCACTAGGTGCCCGACGGAGATACACTATCTCTAGATGACTTTTAATGGTGGAAAGTAGCAATAGCACTCCTCTAAGTCTAAAGAGCACTACAGCACTATTTGCAAATCTAGGTGTTCCACTGTCACAAGACAAAACCACTGAACCCACCACCAGACTTAATTTTCTAGGTATCACACTGGATTCAAATACCATGCAGTCAAGTTTCCCCGAGGATAAACTCCTACGCATTCGTGAAGATGTGAACCGGTTCCTACAACCAGGAACTTGCACACGGAAGGACCTACAATCTTTGTTAGGTTCATTAAACTTTGCCATGCACATTATTCCCCAGGGGAGATCATTTATTTCTAGACTGCTACGCTTATTACCAGGTCTGCCAGACGGCAATAATGGTCATTTAGATTCTCCGGCAAAGGCAGATCTGGTCATGTGGCAAGAGTTCCTTGAACACTGGAATGGGATTTCATTTTTCGTTCCCCCGGTATCCGACCAATTCCCCGTCTTTTGGACAGATGCAGCTGCAATCTACAAAAATCACTGGTTAAGAGATTACTGGCTGAAAGAGACACTCAATCTACCTTCCTTTCGCGAGACGTCTGCATTATTTGAAATTTACCCAATAGTAGCGGCTGCGTTCACATAGGGTAAATCCTGGTCGGGCATGACAGTCAAATGTTATACGGACAACATGGCAGCTATTGACATAAGGGTTGACCATCATGAGGTTAGTTCGCAGGCTGACCTGGTTGGCTGCCACATATCAGTTCTTCCTCTTCTGCGAATACATACCAGGCTACTCCAACTCTGCTGCTGATGCTTTTGTCCCGTTGTAAATTTCAGGAATTCTTCGTCGTTCACCCAGCAGCCAACAAATACCCGACCCAACTTCGTAGTTCAACAATTTAATCCTGGACTAGCCTGGCTATTGGCGCATGGCAGGAATTGGCACAAGTAGTCTTATCCACAAACAAAAGAAACACAAAGAAAACATACAATAGGGCTATGGTCATTTTTCAGAAGTTCACTGTAGAATTCAACATACACGATCATTTGATCAAACCATAGTTGCATTTGCTGCATCTCAAACTTTCATATAACACTATCAAACTCTATCAGGTGTTCAACACCACATTTTGACAACCATGCCAAATCAAACTCCTTTTCTTTCTGACCCTGTGAAGAATATATTGAAAGGCATAAAGAAATTACATCATACTACAAAAAAAACGGTTACCGATAGATGAAGAGAAATTCTGGGCTCTATCAGACTTACTGGACACACTACCATTTGACCCCCATATAAACCTGGTTATAAAAACCTCCTATGTACATAGCTTTCTATGGATTCCTTAGACCTAGAGAATTCACAATAACAGCCTAGTGAGACAGTCATTATGTCTCCTCATGAAAGACTTAAAGGTGAACAATTACTATCTTGTCACTTAGGCATTCCAAAACTAAACAATTAGGCCATCAATTAGAAGTGCCCCTCTACCCTACCGAGAATCACTGGTGCCCTTTTAAAATTTTAGACACTTATCTAGTACAGGTTAGGGACAATCCCAGCCACACTCCACTTTTTACACTGTTAGGCATTCCCCTCATTACTTCCAAGTTCATGTTCTACATCAGAACTCTGTGCATTAGATTAGGCTGGGACGCTACCTCTTATTCGGGACATTCATTCAGAATTGGGGCCGCATACATTACCAATACACATAATCAAAAAGTTGGGAGGTTGGAATCCGCAGAATACAATAGATACATATGCAACCAGAGATAGAGTTAAGGCGTGCGTTTAAAAAAATCCTGTATTATAATCATGTTTGCAATAAAATGTTTTTTCTGCTTTTTTATTTTTTATTTTTTTGCCCTCTTTTTTAGAGGCCTAACCCTACGTCGGTTTTGGCACACCACACCGACTTGCTCCAATACGCAAGGTATTTCAACGTCCCTATATTAACAGACCACAAATTAGGCATTTAACAATTGACTTGCATATGGACGTTTAAAATACTTTTCAATTAATTTATCTATTTGGTCCAGAACATGGACAATTGCCTACGTATCAACTTGTTTGTTGCAATAGCAGTCTATAGATAGCATTCTTTTTTGAGCTGGATTTATAAAAATAGAAACGGTTTACAAATGGTGATTTTCTGTAACTTTTTAACGAGCTTGGCAACTTCAGATGATCTGTTTCAGACTATGACCTAGACCTTTTTCATGCATAGCTCAGAGAGCTTCCGGCTTTCTCTCTGAGGTAGCAAAGGTGAAGAATGGCACCCGACGGACTCCATGTAAAATGTCAAATCATTGAATGCTCTGAATTGGTTATGATGCTTGGAGTGGGCCTTTTAAAGGGCCACTCCACACCTATAAAGCAGTCCAGCTTGCTGAAGTGCTTTATGGGTGAGGAGTATATCATTAAAAAGGCACTTTATAAAAGTGCTGATGTCTATGAGAAATATGAACTATTTTTATTAAATAATGGAACACTCCCCTACCTATTAAATAGCCAGGGAGGTTTCTTCCTGCTTCAGCTAGCTCCTCAGAGCTAGCAAGTGGCAGGCACCTTCTACTTGATTGCACCTGCTTCCCCCTCCACATGCATCTTCTCAGATCAGACCAGCCCACATTCTGAATGCTGTGAACTGTGTGCACGTACACATGGGAAGATTGTTTCTCAATGAGAATCCCCTGGTTGTTTCAAGAGATCTTGCAAAGACTGCCGTCATAATACCCCTAATAAGTGAATGCATGTATGTATTTGGGTTACATCTAGTAAATGATTCCACTTTTCCCCACATGTTTTTGATTGTGAAGTGATCGATCCTTTAATATTACTCTCGATTCATTCAGAAATGCTTTTGAAGAAAACTGAAAATTGCCCTTTGCATGAGGGACTGATTTGTTACTGGTGAAGGAGGATTGAAGGGGTTATTTCTGATGTAGAGTTCGCTCAGTCAATGTAATGACTTATCAAAAAAACTGAGTCTTGTACTCTCATTTCTTTTAAACTCTGTTTCAAGCTATTGTAAGACTACATACAGACTAGGCAAAGGAGGAATATTTTTTTATTTCACCTAAAGTTGCGCAAAATGTCCTAACCCCCTTGCCTGCCATCTTCTCTCCTCAATGCTTGGCGGTTTCACTTGCATAGAATTGTCACTGTACTCTATTCAGAATAGTGCCTTTAATGGAAGATCAAGAGAACTGCAAATTTTATTTATTTTTCATGCAAGCTGCTGTAAGTTTACAAGGTTATGTATGAGAAAAGCACAGCTTGCATTGTGAGTGTCCCTTTTTAGTAGTAGTAAAGACTTCAGAGATCTTAAAAAAATTTTTTTTTTCTTTTAAAATAATTTAGTTTTTTCCTGTGTCTTTGTGAAATATGCCCTTGTACATGTAGGTTGAGGGGGAAGGGAGATCTAAGTATCTGAAACTCTTACTGGAATGTTCGTCTTCAGCTCCTGGCCAGAGTCATTGGTGTTCATTCAGGAACCTGTATAAGGTCCTGCTGGATTCTCCATAAATTCCCACCCCTCCGAATCATAATCCTCTATTGCATGTCCAGTGAAAATATCTGCCATAAGTCCCTTCTGATGAGAAATGACTATGTGGTAGAGGCAAGCTATTTTGCCAAAAAATCAGCTCTTGTGTAAGACAAAGAAGCCTTAGTATGTCTTGTATCTTTTAACAGCTTTGGGATTTTAGTGTAATTCCAAAGCAGTTTATCACTTTTTTTTTAATTTTTTTTATTTTATTTAAATTTACCATACTTTAAAAATCTCAAATATAAAATGCACTTTCAGTAAACTAAAGTCAGTGCATGCTTGTTTCACTGCACTGCGTTTGTATTCTGCTCTCATCTTCCTGTTGACTTTGTGTATTCCGTCCACACCTGCTTTTATTTATTTACCTTTTTCAGTCTATAATCATCACATATGCTCGCAGTCTTAGAGATCTTAGTATATGCATACTTCTTTCCAAACTAACTTATTGGTTTTAACTGCCCTACTTTTTAGGAACCATAATTTTAAAGTCAACACATTGTTTAGGGTATGGTGTATGAATTACCCTTATCAGTAAGGATTATAAGGCGATTTGTGAAAATTGCTGCAACAATGAAATTGTCCCCTGGATCAGTGACATCAGTAGTGTAGCTGTGTGCATGCTGAGCACATATTTCCTCTTTGCAGCTCTGAAGAGAGCTCAAGCTGTGGAGTGGTTGCTTTTGGCATTTGCTTGACCACAGCCCTCTTCACAAACTGAACAGAACTGTGAATAAACTGATAACAGCTGCTACAAGCTGTTCCACTTGTCATGTAATGTCTTTATTGCTCTCCTGAGCTCGGAAGAGACGTGCTTGGCACACACTTATTTGTAGGATCTCTCATGATGAATGAAAAAGTAATAATAGTTTTTTCAGAGAAATCGTAAACGTAAAGCTACTTTATTACTTTCTCCCCTATTATAAGCTACTATCCTCGAATGATTGATAGACTTCCTTGAATCAAATTTTCTGCTCAACCTACTTCAGTTCGCATTCCGCGCTTGTCACTCTGTCGAACTGCCCTGATTAAAGTACCCAATTATTTAATTGCTGCTAAATCCAGTGGTCGCTGCTCTCCTAATTCTCCTTGACCTTTCTGCTGCTCTCGACACTGACACCTTCTGTAACCTTGGTCTACAAGACTTTGCTCTTTCCTGATTCTCCTTCTACCTCTCTCCGCGTTCTTTCAGTGGATCTTTTTCTGACTCTTCCTATTTTCCGCAATTCCTCTGTGTTCCCCTAGGTTCTGTCCATGGTCCTCTACTGTCCTCTATCTATACTGCTTCCCTTGGTAAGCTCATCAACTCTTTCTGGCTTCCAATGCGGATGACACGCAAATCAACCTGTCCTTTCCTGATCTCTCGCCATCCCTCTTGACTTGTGTCTGACAGCCTCTCTGCTCATTTTCTTAAACTTAAAGGGACCTCCTAGTCACCAAAACAGCTGTACCTTAATGAAGCAGTTTTGGTTTACAGATCGTGCCCCTGCAGTTTCACTGCTCAATACTCACTTCCAGTTATGAGTTAAATCACTTTGTTTACGCAGCCCTAATCACACCTCCCTGCATGTGACTTACTGGTCTTTCGAAACACTTCCTGTAAAGTCATGAATTTTGCTTTATTGCAAATTCTGTTAAGTTTAGAATTTTCTTATCTCATGCTCTAATGGATTTCTGGACGATGCAGAAGCCACCTGTATGTCATTACAGCTCAATTTACAGAGCAATAGATAAACTTTAAAAAATTTTTTTTTTTTTTAATTCCTAAAAATTACAGTGGGTTGAGCCATGGCTCGACAAATCCCAGGTCGCTATGGCGACTAAAACTTTCACCCTGGTGCCTGGGATTTGCCAGCTCTTTAATGTGGTTACCGAGGGAACTTTGAAGGCGGCCGCCGATGGACAGCATGGAGCCGCCCGCCCGTGGGAGCAAAGAGGCAGTATGCAAGAGAGCAGCCCCACTGGACCCCAGGGAAAGACCCACTCATCTCTCCTAAAGATAGGGAGGCTGAGAGGGGTTTCAATTAATACAAAAATGTAAGTGTGAGTCTGCCTGTCAGTGAGTGTCTGTGCGCGTGTTTAGGTACCTGCTCCCTCCGATCGCATGAGGAAGGTGTTTTTACTCACCTTTTTTTCCCACCCCGTGCCACTTTTGCTGCGGCTGGTACCACCTCAGTGGCTGAGATTATCAATCTTTATGATCTAAGCTAAGCCAATGCTTTCCCTTAGGAAAGCATTGAGAGGATTTTGTGGAAGCACAGCAAATGTTCCAATCCGCATCTCCTCATTGAATTGGGATGCATTGAATTAATGAATCTCTGAGGAACATTCAGAGCCTCCATGCAGAGCTTGGAGACCATGAACATTGGTGCTGCACATGGTGAAGCAGTGACCCAGGACACTCTAGTGGCTGTCTAAGTGACTGTCAATAGAGATGTTACTAAGCAGCAATGTAAACACTGACTTTTTGCTGAAAAGGCAGTGTTTACACTGAAAAACCTGCATGGTATATAGTCACCAGAACAACTACATCAAGCTGTGGTGGTTCTGGTGACTATAGTGTCCCTTTTAAGAATTGCATTTTTATCAATGAAAATGACTGACTGGCTCCTAGATTCCAAACAATTTTGTCAAGCCCTGGATTGAGCAGTAAAACTTCCATAATTAGTGGAGGCCTGCTTGGAGTGTTTTCTTAACTGTCCCAGCTTATATTTAATTCAAGACAGACTTCAAAACATCTTATTGGACATGCTTGATCTAGTGGCATCTTTATGCTGGTTAATATTACATCGTCCTCTACTAAAAATAAAATTAGAAGTTGCCCAAGATGATTAGATTCTCATAAATGTTATAAATTGTAGCTGAGTTCTTTGTCCACTAGATGGCGCAGAGAGACTGCATTTAAAAGGGACATATGATGAATGTGGAATGCTAAAACATATCCCATGTAGAGTGCAAAAACAAATTTCACCAATTTCAAATCATTAGTGATCACACTTGTTTTCACACACTTAAATGAAGAATACATTTCTATGATTGGCTATTTCGAGCAATGGCATACTTTTAGTTTGACTTAGTAGGGGCATCTCTAACGCGTACCCTTAACTCGGTGCGCACGAACATTAGGCATTCCCCATAGAAAATCATTGAATTAATGCTTTGCTATGGGGTATTTCAACATGCTGGACATCGTATGCAAAATGTGAGGATGTCAAACGTCGTTTCACTGGGTCAATCTCTGTGAAACTGCAGGGGGAGCGTCTCTAGTGGCTGTCTGGGAGACAATGCGTTTGAATTTGTCCCTGTATCAGGTGAATTGGTATACCATCTGTGTCTAGAATATCCTTTTAATAGTATGAATGCCAAAAACCCTAAGGGTGCCATGTGAATGGGTAAGGGGAGACAAATGTGTAATAATCTTTTACATACACTTTATGTTAATGCTTAACACTCTGTTTTCTAGACGTTCTCTCAGAAGAGGCAGCTCATTCACCTTTCTAACCCCTGGACCTCAATGGGATTTTTCACTGGTATGTCCAATTTGTATTATGTATGTATACACGTTGTGTATAAACTAGTGTGTTCAATATGCTGTTAAATACTTAGCATATTTCATATATTGATTTGGAGAGGGGCTAAAATATTAAATGATGCAATACACGAACTACATATTGAGCTAACTGTGCCTCTAGGCTAGCAGAGTATTATTGAAGTAATGCTTAAAATTGGCTGGTGTGATCATCTGAACTATGCATTTATCTGAACAATTAAAGTAGATTTGAAACTTGAAATTATTTTTCATCCATCTACAAATATCTCGCCCTCCAGCATCCCCTTCCAATAATTCCTTTTTGTGTGGTGTGTCATTTAATTATGTACGTAGGAAAGCATTTGCTTGGACGAGAAGCATCAATAGACAGATAACATTGCTTGAGAATGATCTGTCAGCTGCACAGTAGCTGGGGGGAAAAGTAATGAAAACCCTTTTATTTATGTTGAGGGGGGAGGCCTGTATATATTTCTAAAGCTGTAGTGTTCCTTTAATGGGCTTTAATTTTGACTCCTAACTCAGTCCTTATATTTTACATCCTCCCTACTTTGGTCATTTGGTATAAGAGAGTGCTTTTAAATTGGGTATTAAAGATTTCTAATATGTTGCAATCAGGGACTAAGCCGTTGTTCTTATTTTGGATGAAGGAAAATGAAGAATGCAATTCACGGGCAGCTGTAACTTGATGACCCAATCAATACCAGATGTTTCTATAGTCTAGCCATCAAGTAAGGGATTTACCAGACTTGTTTGGTTTAGTATTGGCTGGAGTTCAGTTTACAAGTCTGGTTCAGCAGTGGGGAATTGGTAGTTCTGTTTGATTCCAATTTGTGTGCAAGTTGAGAATAGACACTCCATTTCTTAAATGCTCCTGTATGCTAGTGTGGGGCACATATTTTCGACACCTGTGACTGACTGTGATCACCGTAGTTTGAACTAACATTTTTACAAGACGTTATTTGACATGTATTTGTTCAACACAATTCTTTATTTGTGTTGTATGCATTATCTACTCCATAGCTCCTGTATGTAGCCAGGCAAAATCTACAACTTGATCAAAATGAAGATGCTATGTTATAAAGAGGTCCCTGGTGCTGGCCACCTTAAGGGGTTAAATTCCAAAATCTTTTTTCCAGCGCCATATTTCCCTGCCTCTCTGCCCTTTAGTTTTCTAAAACTGAAGGCTCTAGCAGAATCAGGCAGTGGCACTGCTGATTGACTGACTGTGAGCGGTCAGCTGACGCTCTCAGACAATCCGTGAATCTCCATTCATAAGACTGGCTTGAAAAAGGTGCTAAACCATTTGAGAACGGTTTAACCTTTTAAGATGAGCCTGCACCGGGGACCTCCTGGCACCATAACAACTTTATGTTCATGATGTTATGGTGCTCTAAGAATTCTTTTTAAAAATTGGGCTATTGCACTTAAATATACATGCAGGAATCAAACAGTTAATCTCACATGGTCATTCAAATCAGGCTTTGCCACTCAATTGTTGACATTGTTTCAAATATCATATTTTACTTTATACTTGTTTAATAAGGGCAAAATGCAAAGCAGTCTTAAAATGGATGTCGATTTGTTTGCAAGGTGGGCACAAAACATGTATACTTGCTGTGTCAATGGACAAAATGGTGTTCTTCACTCACAAAATAGTTTCTAAACCCATGCCAATATGTCATTAGTCACACACGTGTACCGCTATCATTTAACTGAAGGAGTTGGTGTTTGTGTGTGGCATATACGTAACTAGCCACTTGCATCTACAAATACATTGCAGCGCTCACTAATATAATAACATATGCATTGACATCCACACTTTCATTGCGGGTCAATTAATATCCTGTACTCCTTCGTTTGTGTAAGTAGAGAGGCTCAATTTGGGAGTCATTGGTTTCTGGAGAAACAAGACAGCTGTGCACTCAGCAGTATAGCCTTCCCTCCATCTCAATGTTTAGATCCAGTAGAAAAACTAAATGGGTCTAGATTGGTTAGTTTAAGGGACACTATAGTCATCCAGACCTACTTCAGCTCATTGAAGGGGTCTGGGTGCAGTGTCCCAGTCCCGCTTAGTCCTGCAATATAAATAATTGCATTTTTGAGAGAGTGGTTTTTTTTTAATTTATTTTTTCAATCAGCAATTAGAGGCACTTTCTGGTGGCTAACTTTTGGTTGCATAACTGACACTGGACATCCTCATGCTCTGAGGACATCCAGTGTCCATTAAAACCCCATAGGAAAGCATTGAATCAATATGGGGATGACCTAATGCTTTTGCTGCGCATCAGTATTAGGCCCCCTCTCCCTGGAAGAGGCGGAGCACCAACCCTGGGCAGAGGGACACCGTTATCAGGTAAGTTACAAAAGGGAATTTAAGCCCTCTATGAGCTGGGGGGGCTCAAAGCGCTCAATAGTGTAAGGAATCACTATATAATTTAATCGGAGGCCTGTTTGTTTGTGGTGGGAGGAATCTAGCCTCCTCAAAGTGTCCATTAGATTCAATTCAACAAGATATTTGTAGGTACAGCCCTGCTTGTTTGTTCACTTGTTTTATTAAACAATGCTAGAGTTTGAGCTGATTTGATCAACATTTTGTTCATTGAAAGGGTTGGAAATAATTGCCATTATTCTAATTATACAACATTTTCTGATGGGTAAAAGACTATTTCTCATATTCATAATTTGCATTATATACCAAAAACGTGAACCTAGTAAGTATGACATACTAACTTTGAGACTTGGACAAATTTTGGTGTTTAGCATTTATTGGCAATTCTGGATAAACTTTTTTTTTTTTCCTTTCAACAGAAAAGGAAGCGTCGAGAAAAGGATGAGGACAGTGTCAGTCTTTATAGCTTTGATCTCAAGGTAACCTGCTCTTATAGTAGTGGTGAAATCACATTTCTAAAGTAAATGTTACTGACATATCTAGAATAAAAACAACAAATAAAAATAAAATTCCTTTATCTTGTATCATATTATAGTACCTCAACTTTGTATATCACTGCAGCTATCAGTAACTAAATGTAGGTAGTTGAAATATAACCAAGCACCATAACTAGTTTTCTAACATAGGCATGTCCAGATAATCCTACTGTGCACATGTTGTAAAAAAACTGTTAATTTCCCTTTCCCAGCATTTAAATGGTTTAAAAATATAATAAAGGGGCGGCGTCTGACAGCCAAAGCAGACGCTCGCATGTTTGTGGAGGTCCGGTCCACGAATGCTATAATTACTCAATTTTCGGCATCCAGACCAGCCTTAGTATGTTCTGAAGAACTCCCCAGCTTGCTAAAGCCCCATGGGGAAAAAGATTTTAAAAAAAACAAAAAAAAAGTCAGGATGCACCCCGACTGGGCAGGAATATTGGGGATTTGTGGCAGCAGGCTCATGGTGCTTATGGGCCCAAAATGGCATCCATCACTGGGGACTGCTTGGACCTCTCAGACTATTTCTCCTGTGGATCAGAGGAGGGCTACATACCTGCTTAAGTGCCTCCACCGCCGATCCCTCTAATGAAGCCAGACTCTGCTCCAGTGACAACTACAATATTAAAAGAGCTACTGGCAGACATGGCCGCAATACGACAGGGCCTGACAGGCCGAATTGGAGCACTGGAAACTAACTCACACTCCTGCATACAGCAGATCACAACTCTTCAACAAGAGGTCAGCGACTTGCAAAATTACTCCTATGAATGCCGCTTTGCTGCACAAGACGAAAGTCAGGGGGATTCCTGAAAATATACCTGAAGCAGAGCTCCCACATGTGGTTAGACTTTTGCTGACAGCCTTACTGATGCCCAAACAGGCCAAAGCAATAGTGACCGAAGGTATATTTCGGGTGCCCAAACCGCCAAAAGCACCACCTACAACACCAAGGGAACCTGATAATCCAATTCCAAAACGGAAAAGACAAGGCAGCAGTCCTGAATGCTCTAAGGGGCAAGTCACCTTGCACACCTTACACCTTCGAAGACATGTCACTGACATTCTGTGCAGACCTATGCAGCAGCACTCTGGCATGGCGCCAAGAACTACGACCACTCACCTCCCTTCTACAACATCACAAAATACGCTAGCAATGGCGCCACTCCCCATCACTGTCAGTCCTCCAAGGGGATTCAACCCACATCAATCGAGACCTCCAGGAAGCTGCAACGATCCTGCAGCGCTTGGGAATCCCCAACATTACCTCAGCATTGATGTCCCAGAGATGGAACCCAGGGACTGCTGCGGAATTTGTGCCCAAGCTGGCCACATCAGGCTCTCATGTCGAAGCCAAAACTTGACCTTAAACAGGACTGCCTCTTACAGGCCCAGTTCGGGACTCATGCAATTAAGCAGCCTCTTTCCCCAGTGCACAAAAGCCCACATCCTTACTCAAACATAGAGCAGGATAATTACCTCCACCCTTCTCAGGCCGAATAGCTATTTCCTCCACTGTTTCTGCCCCCCATTTGCCTATGGGTTAATTAGGCTACGAATGTGTAAGCTGCACACCTGAAAATGCTAGACAAGAACACACACGTTCCACCAACAAGCTCCGGTTACAAGTTCTGGCCCATCTTACTCTTACACCTCTATGGTAAACACTGGCACTGTCACCCTCTCTATAAATGCCACTAACCCAGCCACCACCTAGCACTTGACTATACAGAAAAACCCACAGCCTGACAAATGTGCAACATTTTTGCTGTGATCTATGCTATTGTTTTACTACCAGTCTCCTTACTGCGTTCTGCTGTGTATACCTCATGTCATTCTGTGGCTAAAATAAAGAATTCAAAAAAATATATATTGAGTTTTAGGCAGAGGAGACCGAGCCGACGGGAGGGGACCCCGGGAGAGACCCAGACCTAGATGGTACTATGGGACCCGAAACACCACCGGGCTTAAACTAAGGAGACCCTGACGACCTATAGTTCTATAGTAGCAAATTGGCTGACACGGGGAGGCTCTACCACAAAGCATCCCCATGCTGGGAAAACTCCTGCTTGACACGACTGGTGGGCTGGGTGCCAAGTGAGCAGTGCGAAAAATCGACTATTCGCTCCAGACCGGACAGCCCACCTACCCCAACACTGTACATGTACTCGGAGGCCAGTCCGGTGACACACCCCGAGGGGACTGGACACCGGTGGGCGACTAAACCCGAGGCGAGTCTTAGTTGCCTTCTTTTCAGACAGACACACCTATCCCTGACACCGAACTGACCTAGCCCCACTCACCCCTAAACCCGAACTCCGAGTCACTCCCCCGCCCCAAACCGAGCACGGACAGGGATGGGCTCCAAACACAAACCGGCGCCACTTACTCTATGGCTTAACAATGTAAGGGACCTGAACGTCCCCGAGAAGCAGTCCCAAATACTCCGTACCCTATGGGCGGGACACGTCTCGGTGGCGTTCTTGCAGAAAACACACCTCAAAGGCACAGACACCCCCACCTTGAAAAACGGGCGCTATCCCACAGGGTACTAAGCAAACCACCCGGACGGAAAAAAAACCATTGCACAGCACACCTACACGTTTGCTTGCCTGTATTACCGAAACCAACATGTCTTCCTGAATAAGACACTCACACTACTAAACAAGTTCAGAGACGGTCTCCTGATTGCAGCTGGAGATCTTAACACGCCACTAGACACCAGGCTGGATACATCCAGAGGGGAATGCTCTATACCAGGTCGTTTCATACGCTCTGCGGGAAGGGCCCTGGCAAGGAGTGGCTTGGTAGATTGCTGTAGGGCGGCGAACCCAGAAGGCAGGGACTATTCCTACTATTCGGCTGTGCATCAGCGCTACAGTCGTATTGGCTATATCTTTCTAGCACAGGAAGCCCTACCCTTGCTCCCACGGGCAAACATCGGTCTGATTGCAGAATCAGACCACGCAACAATCACAGTACAGATCCAATCCCTACTACACAAACCAGTAAAAAGACAATGGAAGCTAAATGAGAACTTGCTACTCAAACTACAGGACACTGAGCCAGTCAGACAAGCACTGACACAATACTTTGACACTAACAACACCCCAGACACTCCGCCCCTGACCGTTTGGGAGGCTCATAAATGTGTCATTAGAGGACACTACATTAAGGTCTCTACGCAGCGTAAAAAAGAACACTCACAAGTATTAGCCACTTTAAACGTACAAATCGCCAAACTGGAGCAGGCCCACAAGCAAAGCCAGGAAGAGGGCAAGTTCCTCCAACTGACTGAGCTTAGAAGGCAGCGACGGGACATACTAGCCCAAGGACTCCTACGCACCCTTAGAAAATCCGCTCGGTTCTTTTTCAAACATTCGGACAAAAGCGGCAGATTGCTAGCCCGCCAGCTCCGAGACCGACGGAGAGAGAGCCATAAACATAAAATAAAACCCTGAGATAAAGCCGAAACACGACTGCCAGACTGAATTCAGCGCGCGTTCGAAGAATATTACACTGACCTATACAACATCCCCCAGCCTAGTACAGACACAGCCCAAACGCAGTCTTAACCAAATTTCGGAATTCTTAGAACAAAACGTAGACAAGTTAACCCCCGAAATGAAGGAAGACTTAGAACAACCCCTCACGGTAGAGGAACTAGCAACGGCATTAAACTCTCCAAAACCCATAGAGCATCAGGACCAGACGGCCTCCCATTGATATATTTGCGCACATTTCGAGACATTTTGTTACCGAACCTCTTGCAAGGTCTTAACGCCATACAAGAAGGGGGCCATTTTCCCACTGAAACACTCGCAGATATAGTCATGGTGATACCTAAGGAGGGCAAGGACCCGACTAACTGCGCAAGTTACCGCCCCATAATATTGCTGAACGCAGACCTAAAGTTATTTGCTAAAACCATAGCCATGAGAGTCGCGAAACACCTCCCCCACCTGGTACACTTTGACCAGGTCGGGTTTATCCCAGGCAGAGAAGGTAGGGATAACACAATCAAAGCTCTAAACATCTTACACATAGCTCGGATGTGTCGAAAGAAACTTCTGCTACTGTCAACGGATGCTGAAAAGGCTTTCGACCGGTAGACTGGGTGTATCTGGAGAACACACATGGGATTCGGCCCACACATGCTGTCCTGGATGCTCTCCCTGTACACGAGTCCCGCGGCACGGATACGTGTTAACGGGGCGCTGTCCGCCCCTTACCCCATCCGAACTGGTACCTGCCAGGGATAACCTCTATCCCCCCTCCTGTTTGCCCTCTCCCTGGAACCATTCCTGGCGGCGGTTAGACGTAATGGGGAAATCACAGGATTCTGCCTTGGTCGTAAAGAATACAGAGTAGCCGCGTACGCTGTTCTTTCTCACACAGCCGCTGCTTTCATTACCCAATGACCTCGCGTCTTTTCGAGCGTTCAGAGCGATTTCTAACCTTAAGCTTAACACTGATAAGTCTGAGGCCCTCCACCTACCGTCCCTAAATGACCCTCCCAACACACCTCTGCACCCAGTATCGATTCAAGTGGTGTAACACCAAACTGAAATATTTGGCTACCCAAAGACCCGACACAACTCTACCACCACAACTATCTCCCGTTGCTACAATCGCTGCAGGCAGACCTTAAAAAAAATGGTCCCCACACTACATTTCCTGGTTTGGGTGTATCAATGCGGTCAAAATGAACGTGCTACCCAGAATACTTTATCTATTCCAGACAGTGCCGATCATGGTGCTCAGAGCCTTCTTCAGCTCTATAACGACCGCCATCCGTCGATTTGTTTGGAACTCACGCCCAACCTGCACGAAAAAAGCCATCCTGGAACTGCCGAAAAAGATGTGGGGGGAACGGGCTTAGAGACGTACTTGTCAGGATTACTGTTTGATCCAGCACGTAGAACTGTACAGCACGGATGACAAATGAGTAACGTATTACCGGTCCTTAGAATGGCCGGATTTAACGTACAAAGAATAGTCAAAAATACTAGCTGAGGTCAGGGAACACAGAAAGGGACACAGCGATGAGGAAAGCCAGGAGTCAGGATACCAGAATATAGAGAAGTCAATAAACAAAGCCAAAGTCAAAAACCAGGTAGAAAACTATAAACAGGAACGCGCTCTCAGACAACCACAAGGGAAACCACGACAGGGCACTGAGCAGGCTGAGAACTGGGCCTAAATACCCCTCCTTTAGTTCTGATAGGCTGTAACCGGCCTTTGACCCCAAAGTCAGTTACCAGGTTTCATTTGCATAATTGCTGCTCAGCATTAACCCTTCTGTGGATTAGGTTGCTGCTCGGCACAACTTTTCCTGTGTGGACAGTAAATGTCATTAACCACATTTCTATAAGCGGATGAATATGTGACAGTACTATTGCGCCACACACCTGCATAGGCTGACAGACTGGCACTTGCAACACCCCTCAAAACAATGGAACTAGAGCAGACAGGTAGGAACATACCCTCCAGACTGTGGCTACACACCGCCACGTACGCAGACCTACAAACCAAAAACCCCCTGATCAATGCCACTCTGAGGGTGTGGACAGCTAAACGCTACCGACTGGAGCTTACCACCTCACTTAACACCCATCACGCACAACCCTGACCTTGCTGATGCCCCTACCCATAGCGACCTATCCTAACCGTCCGACTGGCTGTATCTGCACCAATGGTACGGCTCACATGGACTTAAAACACTGAGACCTTTGCCCAGATAGGACGCCAAAATAAAAACGTACTTCCAATCCCTACCGGGACGTGGGCACCTGCTCAGACCCCATACCAGCTTTGAACTCCTGTGCGTACACCGAACACACATTACCAGGGGTATCTCGACCCTATACACCATACTCATGGCCCAGACCAGTGGAGATGTGGTGCTCAGATTCAAGGACCATTGGTAAAGAGACACGGGGATGTCCCTTTCCGCACAAAAATGGGACACGATCTTCACCCTCACACACAAATGCTCTATCAGTTCGAAATACCAAGAACTGAACTACAAAATACTAACTCGCTGGTACAGAACACCAGACATACTACACCGCATGCACAAAAACACTTCGGACACTTGCTGGAGATGCGGCACACACTCCCACATATGGTGGACATGCCCCGCAATCGCCCCATACTGGGAGAAGATCAGGGGGGAATACACGAAATCACAGGCTCGGAGATACCCCTGAACCCCTTAACGATACTACTACACCACACCCCCAGCCCCCTGAAAGCATATAAGAAATCCCTGACACTACCCCTGCTCAATGCAGCCAAGTCCCTCATCCCTGTGATGTGGAAACAGATGCGAGCGCCCACCCTCCAGCAATGGGTGACAAAGGTGGAAGATATACACTCAATGGAAACTCTGACAGGCTATCTACATGGGAGACCGGAGCAGTGCGCATTGACCTGGTATCCATGGGTAACATACATAGCCAAAATAATAGGGACATCAAGCACAACCCAGCAGGGGCACCCAGAAGCCCGGGACACACCCTTACCCCATATGTCGACATTACCCACCCCCCTGCCTTTTACCCAGACTTCGGACTGCTCCCCCAACGACCAATGCAAACAGTAGCAAGATTAAATAATCACTTGGACAGGCCTACATTATGGACATGACACGTCCCCCGCTAGGACGGACAGCATAAAACAGTTGGTTAAATCTAGACAGACGCACAAAATCTACACCAATAACACCAGAACAAAGATGCGAACCAGAATGAAAGACATAAACCCAGACCAATGCATAAACTGTAGATGGAGAGACACAGTAGTAGAACGAAGAAGCATCTGGGGTGCGAACCAGACTCGACCCAAAACAAACACATAGATTCCCAAACCAACAACCCACCTGACTGTGGCACAGATAGGAGCCTGGACACACCACCCAAGACCCACTAACCCAGTTTAACGAACTGCCAACAACAAGGGTTCGAATAGCCTATACAAACTGACACGCTGGTCTAATAACGGAGAAGTAACAGAGAAGGCGTCATACAACCACAAAACATGGGTTATAGACCCCTGAGGTGCTCACCACAACCGTAGACGACATACCGTAAACACAACTGTAGTACACTCGACATTAGCATTAAAAGGGGTTCAAACATTAGTTTTACACTAAGGCTAATACACAGGATGTGAACCAGCTTAATGTCACTTAACAAAGATTGCTATGGCACAAACATGAAAACTGGGTTGGGAGACAGCCAAAAACTCTGAAACAGCGGAGGACACTCTACAAACTGCCTAAAAACCCGACAATGCCGCAGCCACAGGCTTGAACTCAGGCTGGTACACTGGGTAGAGCCAACTGTTAGATGTGCACAGTTTATCAGCACAGTTCCTTGTACGGACACAGAGTGACACATTGTATTGCTCCTGACTGATACATGTTTTCAAATGAAAAAAGACATCAAATAAAGATTGTGTGTGTGTGTGTGTGTGTGTGTGTGTATATATAGATATTCCTGAATGGAATTGAAACGTGAAATGTTACTACACTTTTTAGCAAAAGTTCCTAAGAAAGCTACCTGGGAGTACTGATTTTCTTTCTTTTTTTTTTTTTTTTTTCATACATTTAGTGCAATCAAGCACTAGGTCATCATCTGTTGGTGAGGACCTAATGTGCATGCGTGGCCAGTGCTGCAAGCGCATTAGGCCCTTCCCGTAGGAAAGCTTTGTCTCAATGCTTTCCTTTAGAGTTTTCACTTATGCTGGGTGTCCTCCAAATGTTTGTTTTCTGGGGTTTTTTTTTTTTGTTTTTTTTTTTTAATTCTTAATTTTTTGTGTGCAGTAGGGTACAACATGCTTCATGGCAAACATTCATGGCAAACAGTGGGAATCATAAGTCATAACAGTGTTGTGGCACATATTATACATGCACATTTTTTGGGGGGAAAAGGATTATAAGAAACATACACACGTACATAACCAGTGTAACTTCTATGAACATTTTAGGAGTACAATAGAGAAGATAAACATTAAAATAAGCTTGAGACATATGTTAGGGGCATGTTTTTCTGCTGACCAGAGGTTTCCAATGGTGAACCTGAACAGTGAAACACAAGTCAGCTGGTTATGGCTTGTACTGAGCTTACACCTGCATCACTCTATGGTAATCGGCCTCTGGGGTCTATGGCGTCTGAGGCGGGGGGCCAGATTAAAAAAAAAAAGTTCATAAAGAAAAGACTAACCAACTTCGAACCGCAGCGTGTGTAAGTCCTGTGTATGGGGGAAGGAAAGCGCAGGACGCCTACTGCCACCTCAGGTATGTGCAGCAGCGGGGGCTGCTGGCGTTACTCTCTTCTGGATGAATAGCGTGATCATGGTCAGGTCCCAGTGGTGAGGGGTTGCATCGTTTTGCGCCATTGTAGCATCTCACCGGAGAGATCCGCGAAGAAAGAGAGCACCATGTTCTCAAAATCGAGTGAGGTAGTCCCCTTTAGTGCAGCTTGAACCAGGGCCTTGGCTGCGGAACCTTATAATCCGGTCTCTGGGTGCTGAATCAGGCGCTCTCCTGGGTTTCGGAACTCGGAAGATGCCGTCCAAGTGTACATTTCGGGACTGCTTGGACTAGTAGTCTCCGGCAAAGATGTTGGAGCTCTGCCGTGGGTATGCCCTCTGGTAGTCCCCGGATTTTCAAATTGTTGCGGCGTTGCATGTCTTCCAGTTGGGTGAATCGCAGGTCAGAGGTTGCTTGTGTTTGGATGTCCAGCTAGAGTTGAGCTATGGTTTGGGTGTGCTGCTCGGAGGTGACTTCCACTGCGCCGAAGCGGCCTACCAGGCCTGCGATGTTGGTGCGTAGCAGGGCAACATCTGCCTGTATGGTTTTCTGGAGCATTTCTGCCGTCACCCATCTGGAGTCTCTGGTCTTGGCTTAGGTGGAGGCTGTAATGCTGGCATTTGTCAACCGTCCTCGACGTCTGGGGACAGCTCCTCCGGGTCTTCTGAGAAGTCGCACCATCGGCGGCCCTCTTGAGCCCGTATGCGCCATGCGCATGGAGGAGAAGATCGTCAATACTCATGCCTCGTTTGGGTCTGTCAGGTTTCAACTAGTAATCCTGCCCATTATTTTAAATTATTTTTTTTTAAGGGCGATTGCGCTGCTGCAGTGAGGCTCCAAAATCAGTTTTTTTTATCGCTGGGTTTAGGTATTTTAGCCCAAAACTTGGCGACCGTGCGTTCTGCTCAGGTCAGTTGCTTCAGGACAGAGCTCCTCTTCTTTTAACCCCTTAGGGACCAAACTTCTGGAATAAAAAGGAATCATGACCTGTCACACATGTCATGTGTCATTAAGGGACCCAGAGTCTGTTAGAATCCCTGAGGCGCCTCAAGTAACTGTCTGATACAATCATTACATAATTATTCACTAAAGCTTAAATTCCCCAGAATTCAAAGTGCATTATATATTTTAGGAACAGATAGCTAATTTGGAAAAAATTTCAAGCTTGGTTGTGTTCTCCAGCATTTCACACTTTAGTGAATAATTCTGTAAAAGTTCTGGCTCTCTTGCTTGCAAATATGTAAATAACATGTTTTATTTAGTTTTCATATGGTAGTTGGCAATTCTATTGTTGATTGACCTCCTATATTGTGCTGTAATGCTAACTCATCCACGACTGGGCATTTACGCTGTTTGGTATCCCAATTTGCCTAATGCATGTATGTGTGCAAATATCCCTTAACGTAAAATGGGATACATTCATTTAATGCAAATATTTGGTAGTTAATGGGTTGATCCAATCATCATAACCACTACAGCCTGCAGTAGAGGTTATGAATTAAGGAATACCCTGTTCATGTTTCTGTTAATTGGGTTAATCATTTAGCAATAGATCCATGCCGGACTTCAATCCTTTCAGGTGGTCCAGTGACATGCTTCCAGGTTCTGCAGGGTAACTCATTGGGGTGTCATCAGCCAACCTGGAACTAAACAGAATTGACGTTAGTCAGCCCAGAACTCTAACTTGCTTTGCAGATGGGTTGAACTCTTTATGTGTGCAGCATTTGATAGTGAAACCCTGCACATATAGAGTCCAGCATGAGGTGGTCATGTTGCTTGGAGTAACCTTTTAACTATGTTCTGTACTACAAAGTGCCGTCATCCTGTACTTGTGCAGGAAAAGTTGTATTCGTTTACAGAAACCAAAAATATACTGTATTAAACTTTTCTTACACTTATGTTATTGCATGTCAGGTAAATGTTTTTTTTCTTGCTAGTTGTGTGCCACGTCTGAGTAAAGTACCAGCATTCGTGTTACAACCCAGATGTTTTGCAACACATGTGATTCACTCAACATCATGTTTACTCTTATGTAGGTGTTATCTGTATTTTGTAGCAACTATATCCAACACACAATCAAGTTAGGAAAAGCTGCTTAGTCATTGGCATGCACTTTTGTACTGTAATTCTACTACTTCTTAGGAATATGCTGCTACAACCTGGAATCATTATTTGAACCTGGTAAGAAGTAGTTTGCATCTTCATGTAGTGTTGAATTGGCTTATTTTACACATGGAAAACTAAATTTGCGTTCTTTTGTGTTTCATCTACACATATCAATTACATGTAGTAATTCTGCTTTGTTGTTTTTAAATATCTCTATGTTGCACGATGTTTGTCACACAAGAACATAAAGAAGCAAAACAAAACATGGCAGAACTTAAAATATATTCAATAGTTCTTAATCTCTCTTGGGTATCATGTAGTGCCTGTCTGTATTCTCAGAGTCTTTACACATTTGGAATGTCTGTGTGAGCTATCCTTAAAGGGACACTAGTCACCAGAACAACTACAGCTTATTGTAATCCACTGGCCACTTCTCAGATGGCTATTAGAGGGGCTTCCTGGTGCAATCCTCCAATTTCCCATTAACTTCCTCCTAGCCCAGTTAAATATTTAAATAAGTAATTTATCCCATGAGGGTAAACTACAGTGATCAAAGGATAGGGGTTAAACTTGATTTGAAAAGCAGGGAGGGCTGGGTGGGATTTTAACTTAACATATTTTCTATTGCAGCGAGAAAGTGATCAGCACAGATCAGTCTCCTTGCACTTCACACTGAACATGGTAGTGCAGAGAGGTGGGTCAGCAGTTCCTGCAGCACCTATTATCACACTGGCTGGTTGTCAGACTGCTCACATGAGCTGGGACCGCACAGTTAGCTGCTGCCCGTCTGAGGCAGACTGCAGCAGCATTAACCCCCGCGATCTAGGGCTAATTTTAGTAAATGACAAATTTTGCGTCATGCCCTTAAGGGTAGGTCTGCAATGATGGAAAATCTCTGTCTTGAGTTGCAAAGTGGTTAACAGGTTGTATAAAGGGGGAAAAAAAAGATGGTACCCATAACCTCTTGGCAGTATAATGGCACTAAAATATAGGTAACGTTTCTCAGTTACCCTTTAAAGAGGGAACGTCACTTCTCAGGATTTTTAACATTGTTTACCCCATATTATACAAATATGTAAGGTGTAGAAATCTATACCTCTGTTCCCTGCTATAAGGGGTCTATCATTCTTATAAACTCTGGCAGTCACAATAGAGAGCCTACAGAGAAGAGGAGAAATGAAACCATGTTTTGTTTTGTTTTTCTCTTCTATTGCAGTGTTTGCCCGGACTGGATGTAATTTGTCAAACCTTTAATATCAATTTAAATGAAAATAGAGCACTACAACATTAACACAGGTTATAGGTGATTTGCAATGTTTTGATTCTATGGTGTAAATCCCAGAGAAGTGACTTTTCCCCCTTAAGGTGTATATGTGAGTTTAAATTATTTAGGGCAGGGAATAGTAACCAGCAGGCCGCAAAAAGACTGGCAGCTGATTGTTTCTATCATCATAACTTATTGGACAGCTGAGTTCTACACACTGCTCCTGGCAGCTTGGACTGTAGCGATGAATGACGTCCCCACAGAGCAGGCTGTGAGGGAGCTGTGTGTAGAACTCATTCAAGCTCCTCCGGGCTCCCTTGTGCTACTGGACACCAGGGTTGAGGCCCTTTCTAAAAGTAAGTGACTGATCTGCTTCATGATGTCGTCGTCCCCACCACACACACACACACACACACACACTCTCTTAATTTGTGTGTATCTGTCAGTATGAGTGTGTGTACCTTTAATGCCTCTCTGTATGACTGTATGTATGTTTGTATGGCTCAATTGGGGATCTTTAAGTGTTCTGAAAATTAAGTTTGAGCTGTTGTCTTGGAAAAATTCATATATTCAAAAGTAATTGGGATATGGATGAAAAGATGAAGGGGCAAAGAGAAAAAGTATGCCATGAATGAGAAAGTAGGGGAGAAAAGGGCTTTTCATTAATTGTTCCACTGTTTAATAGAGAGCTATCTATTCTGGTGTCCATATATATAGCAATCACTCATAAGGAAATCAAATCGGGGACCATCTATTAACCTGTGCAAAGATGAGAATTGAGAAATGTGCTTCTCTCCTATGTTTATTGTTATCATTACTATATTAAATTTTTAGCTACATGGATGAATGCAGCCCTCTTTCCATCCTCCATACACTGGCATGGCATCTGGCCCTCATGCGAAAAATTTTGATTACCCTGATTTAGGGTAAGGGATATGTGTAACTGTTTTTAAGTGTGTTAGGCCAGGGTTTTCCAATGTGTGGGTCACGACCCACGGGTCGCCGGGTGATTCCCAGTGGGTCGCACCGACCCACGCCTCCAGGACCGTCGGGGACTAAAGAGACTGTGAGGCAGACTGATTAGTCGGGCCCTTGAACCATTACCGCGAGATCGACACTAGGAGAGGGCCTGGCGTCTATCCCTGGCGCCGGGCCCCCTCCATTCAGTCTGCCCAACACCTCCGGTCTGCAGCTCCCCCAGGTTCTGCGCTGCAAAACGTGTGATAGAGGTCTTGCGAGCTCCCAGAGCGTTGCGATGGCAACACTCTGGGTGCTCGTGAGACTTCTATCACACGGTCTGCCGCTCTGCATCTGGGGAAGCTGCAGACCGGAGGTGTTGGGCAGACTGAATGGAGGGGGCCTGGCGCCAGGGACACAGTCCTCCACACCCTGCCTTCCCCTCCCCACACTGTGACCCCTTCTCTCCCTGCTTCCCTACCCACACTGTGACCTTTTCTCTCCTTGCCCCACACTGTGATCCTTTCTCTCCTTGTCCCCCTCCCCACACTGTGACCCTTTCTCTCCTTGCCCACCTCCTCTCTCTTTTTTTTTTATATATATATATATATATATATATATATATATATATATATATATATATATATATATATATATATATATATATATATATATTATATACAATATACACGCACTACAATCAAACATTACATACAAACAAAATTATATACAAACAGCCCTTCATTCAAACACCAACACTACACACACAAATCAAACATGCATTTAAAGTCCAGCACCACATACAAACACCACTACATTCCAATGGCAACAGTGCATACAAATACACCCATACATGCACACATATACTTAATACAAAAACATGCTTACATTCAAACACTCCTCACAAATATAACTATGCAACAATGGTCAAATGGTAGATCCCCAGCTGGCATAGCATTGTTGAAGTTCTCCGATAGATGGGATCTACCTTCTGGCCACACTTGCACTAGAGGGGGCCCCAGAAAACCTACTTGCACCGGGGCCCTCTCTACATTAGTTCCACCACTGGGATAATCAACGTGAGGTGCCTGGATGAAAGAGCAGGACACAGCACTTCTGATTCTGACGGAGTCTGTGACTAAGCAGCTGTATGCCTCTAAAACGGATTGCCATGATGTGCCAAATTTCTGCCTCTAAAACTGCCGTGATACCCCAAATTGTGCCTCTAAAACTGCTATATGCATGGTTTCTGTCTCTATAACTGCCATGATATGCCAAATTATGCATCTAAACCTGATTGCCATGGTGTGCCAATTGTATGCCTCTAAAGCGGATTGCCATGGTGTGCCAATTGTATGCCTCTAAAGCGGATTGCCATGGTGGGCCAATTGTATGCCTCTAAAGCGGATTGCCATGGTGGGCCAATTGTATGCCTCTAAAGCGGATTGCCATGGTGGGCCAATTGTATGCCTCTAAAGCGGATTGCCATGGTGCTCATTTTGAAAAAATGCATTAAAAGCAAGTGGGTCTCCAAAAATCAAAAGTGGATCTCTGCCCAAAAAAGTTTGGGAAGCCCTGTGTTGGGCAGTTTCGTTTTACTGTTTTTTTGTTGTTTTGGATTTTTCCTTTCAAGACTTGTTTTGTAAAGTGCAGCTTAACATTGCAGGGTAGGTGCCTATTTGCAATTTCTTGATATAAACTAGTATCTCAGTTTAGATGACTTCGACCACTGAAATTTTGACGTGTATAAAATATTACACATCTTGCCCTGCTACTAGATTGGAGATACTCCAGATGTAGCTTTGGCATTGCTCCTTGGTGCGTACTGTGGCATGCAGAGGGTTAACATAACTGCTGTACGCTACACCAGTATGCCAGTCTCTCAAACTGCTTTAAGTATAGGCCAACTTACTGTAGACTACAGGCACGAGAGCTGCCTTGTTTAGAGCCTGGATATCTAAGCTAGATAAGCGGGATAAACTAAAAAGAAAAACACACTACATGCAGTTTCATGTGGCTTTTATCGGTGTGTACATGCAGATTAACCAAATCTCTAATCTTTGGCACATATTAACAATAAATTGACATGCTGTAATTCATCTATAAAACAAATGTTTTGTTTTTGAGAAGGTTTGTGTGCCTATGTGGATGTTGGATCCTTTTATAAGGAGTGTTGCGATGCAGTGGGTTAGGCTTACTTTTCCAGAATCTATAAGTAAAGCCACTCCTTTGTGTGTATACAGCTGTTGCTAACTTTACTGAGGACTGTGTGTAAGGGATTTTTGTTTTTTTAATAATGTAGCCAGCCGTCTGTGTTCTCGGCATGTTCATACTTGCATGATAAACAGTGCTAGAAAGGATAGAGAGTAAATTACGATTTTTCTAACATTGTACATCAGCATTATGTCTAAACGCTCAACACGTATACATAAGTACTTTAGTGGCTAGATTAACTCTCACATACCCATTAACCATTTCTCCTAGTTATAGGTGGAATTACTGCACTGTGTACATGGCTGTTTTATCGTGAAATCTGCCCCACAAGCCTGGCTGTATGTTAAGTCCTATGTGGCTCAGAACTTTACCCTGTGTGTAATTCGAGATGCAGACTAGTAGGTGTGCCAGCTGTCACAGACAAATGACATGGTATTCCTCTGAAACACGCCCTAAAGGCAGCTGAGTCTGCTCCTCCCACCTTTTTAAGTTCTTGAAAGCAGAGCACTAGTCAGACATTACTTCATTTGCTGCCAGGGAAGTATGCAGTATGGGAAGGAGTTGTGAGTGTTTTTTAGCACACAGGCAGCTTGTGTATGAAAAACCAACAAATCTAGCAGGAGCTAAGCCTATACAGTGGATTCTTTTCAGTTCCTGTAAGGGGGATATTAAGTATGGTGGCTCATGATGAGATTGGCGGACTGTTGCCTATAAAAAGGACTATCCAGGTTATTACAATTCAGAATCAAGCTTCTAAGGAATCAGAGGTACGTGTTGGATACATTGAGCCTCATATCACGCTATGGTTGTTAATATTTGGTTTTTACTTTGTGGTTCTCTACAGTGCCGTGTTCACAAGCAATGTATGACATGCAGATATTAATCACATTAGCAAGCATTTGAAATTAGCCAGGTTTTCAGTGGCTGGCTGATTTCAGATAACCTGTTGGGTTATTTTAAGTCTGAAGAATATATTGGTTTCAGAGCCTTGGATCTAAGGATTAATGCACGGAATGTAGAATGCTGGATGTATTTATTTTAATGGACTGTTGCTTTTGAAACCGGTTTCAGAACTTTGCCGTTTTTGGCAGCAGGAATATAAAGACACAGGAACAGACCATTTTGACAGCATTTTCTTTTTTTGTTTCTGTTGCTGCTGTTCTTTCCAAGCTCCTATCAATGTCATCAGCTTGTTTTCCTGCCCTTTGTTGTAGGTTTAATCTTTTGAAGCTGTTTCCTCAATGAGCCCTTTCAGAGAAGAACAAAGTGAGAGAATTGTTTTTAGAAAATGTGTAGGTTAAGCCTGGTTGGCATATGCTGAATTCATAGTTCTGCAGAAGTCTTCATTGTTATGCTTTCTTTTATAGTAGAAATATGAACTACATAGCATCATCCTGCTAAATTTACCCCATCCCTTAGCTAGCTATTTATTCCCTTCCCACATTTCTCCCCCCCCCCCCCTTTTTTTTTTTTTTTTTTTTAAGTGGATGGCATGTTCTCTTGATAATTAGCTAGTACCCTAAATGTAAAAAGTCCACAATTTGTACCAAACCTATGGGTGATCTTTTCTTGGGGAGATATGAACTTTTTAAATTGGTGTTCTTGCCCAAAATATTAATATCTATTTTAGGGACCAGAGTTAGGCAATTCCATTGTCACTTTGACATTCCCGAAGAGATTACATTGAACAAAACCAGTCTCCACTCTGGTATTTTAAAATGAATATTTTTATATATTATTTTTTTGTGTGTGTTAAACTGGAGTCCCAGAACAAGAGGCTCCTTGTTGCAACTCTACCAAATGGTCAGAATAAAATGTGGCCAGACAGCTTTCATTAATATCTGTTTTGGGAAACTGACACCAATGTGCCATGCAGTCGTTCACACCTGTCTTTCATGGTGCATTAAACACAATTGCTATATCTGTGACTTGTACTCTGTACTAAGGGGAATTTTAGCCTTTCACACTTATACCACCACCTTATTTAGCGATTGTAGATATTCAGTAACTGGAGTTGTGATGTTGTCAAATGACATTTTAGTGGTATTTGAGTAATATAACTTCGCAAGTTGTGGACACAGTGGAGAGTCCTAAAGTTACATGTTTCTGGTTATGGATAAAAGGAAAATTTTGTTTGCGATGAGTTGAATGTTCAGCAATCACCTGCTTGTATACATGTATTGTGACAATGAAATGAAGGAATATATACATGGTTTTGCTATAAAGTCTGAAGGTATTGTTGCATGGTGTATTAATGTGCAATGTAACTGCTTAAAATTTTAATAGAAATAGAAACTTCAATGTGTACATTTTCTAAATCTTTGTCAAGAAACACCATAATCTGTTGATTCTGTGTGTTTTGTTTTGTTACATCGGACAGTATGTACATTATAACCTCAGCAGTTGAGACACACGGAAGAAATTCTGGTCTGTGTAGTGGTCTTAGCTCAAATTATTATGCCCAATGCTAGTGTATGTCTCCAATGGCTTTATCCACTCCATGGTTCCTGGGAAAAAATACAATTCCGGGCTGGTGTTGGTTGATGTTGTTATAGATTATCCACATATCTGCTCCTTCAATGTGCAGTTTGATGTCAATCTGTTATGTACTGTCACTAGTAAGCATATAAAGAGCCTTTAAGCTCCAAGTGTGTTTGTTTATATTTTAATCATAGATTTTACTGAAATGAGCAGTTTATTTTCTAATGAAGCAAGTAGAACAAATATTTAGGGTGTTGAATGTGCCTGGGAAAGGTGCTATTTTTTTTATTTTTTTTTGAGAATGTAATTTCCTTACACCAGAAAGTTAGCGTGACTGTTAAATGCATTATTTGACATGTATTGTCTGCCTTCACTGTCTGGTTTTACTGAATGCTTTTTTAAACTGTATTTGAGCAGCAGCAATCCTTTCATGAACAAAAGGCCAATCTCCCTATACATACTTTTTCAGGGTATGTTTTTAATAGTTAAACATTAACTACACCAACTTTTGTTTCACAGTAGAATGCAGTTAGCGTGCAGAGAAATACGTAAATCTGCATTGTCAGAGTTCCATTGCATGTCAGTTAGCATTTCATATTTGAACTTGCCTGTTATTTGATAATCCTTTTATAGTTTGTAGACTTACAAATATCTTTGGGACTTTAACATCTTAATTTTTTACATTTTTAGGAACCAAGCAATAAGAGAGTACGGCCTTTAGCACGTGTCACATCATTGGCAAACCTAATCTCTCCTGTAAGAAATGGCGCAGTTCGGCGCTTTGGGCAAACTATCCAGGTAAAACTCCTTTTAATGTGGGGTGTTTTTTTTTTTTTTATGTACAAATCTTATTTGGAAATCTTTGGCTTAATCACTGCAGCAAGAAACACTCTTTAATAGAATATTGTTATAACTTTAAATAGTATTTTTTTCATACAATTATATTTACACAAGTGTCTATATAGTTTATATTCAAGCAGGAATTAATACCTTTTTTCATTCTTATAGTCTTTCACAATGCGAGCTGAAAACAAATCACCCACAAGTGCACAGAAATCCTGTAGCAGGATGGCTGCACCCACCCCTCCAAAAAGAAGGAATAGTGTTCTCTGGTCTGAGATGTTGGATATCAATATGAAGGAATCTCTGAGTGCCAAAGAAATTAAACGACAAGAGGTAAGTCAGGTCCTGCTCCATCTTTACTGCTGTTTTGCCTTTGTTGAAACAACTAATAGTCATCCTCCATAATGCCTAATCTTGGCCTGCCCCTCAAATATTTGTGAACAAATTTCACTTGATGCTCAGCCAGTCATGTGTAAAGAAGTATACATAAAACTGGGTTTATATTATGTCTGTCATGGTAAGCCATGCCTGAACTTTCAAACGGAGTTCATCCTAAAATACTTTTCTAACAAAGCTATTTTATTTATACACATTATTTTTGAGCATATTGTTAGCCCAAATAACCACCCAAACTCTCAGTTCTGGCACTGGCAAGTGTGTGCTTTCTCAGATGTTAACATTCCTATGCCTAGTCCACCAGGGCTGTTTAGATTTTTTTCTGATGCAGGTCAAATATTATTTGGATTCATCTAGTGCAACCTGGAAAATAGGAAAGTTCTACAGCTTACTGAGCACCTTCAATATGTAATGTAATGCAACTTTGTAATGAATAACTTTTTATTATCTACTACTGTATATTTAACATGTTTGCTCTGCACCATGCAGGCTATATTTGAAATGACCAGAGGTGAGCAAGACTTGATTGAAGATTTGAAGTTGGCAAGAAAGGCCTACCATGACCCAATGTTGAAACTGTCCATTATGTCTGAAGACGAACTGGGGCAAATATTTGGTGATTTGGATGCTTATATTCCCTTGCATGAAGGTACAGCAATTGATTGATGGACATTATGTATTTAATATTCATCAAAAAGTCCTATGTGGTGGTCATGTTCGTTATTATTTTTGTTTCAGAATTTCTGGCTAAACTTGGAGAGGCTACAAAAGCAGATGGAACAGTGGGACAAATTGGGCACATTCTTGTTAATTGGGTAAAACATTAAACTTTTTTTTCTAAAGATGGTTATTTGTTAATAAATGTCATCACATCTTGCATAAGACTAACAATACCAATTTTATTTTTTACAGTTGCCTCGCCTGAATGCTTACAAACGATACTGTAGTAACCAACTAGCAGCCAAGGCTCTTCTTGACAAGAAGAAATTGGACCCTAGAGTCCAAGACTTTCTGCAGCGATGCCTCGAGTCTCCTTTCAGTCGTAAGCTGGACCTGTGGAGCTTTCTTGATATTCCTAGAAGCCGTCTTGTGAAATATCCCCTCTTACTGAAAGAGATCCTTCGGCACACGCCGAAAGACCACCCGGATATCTCAAGTTTGGAGAAAGCGGTGGGTAGTGTCAGAATCTGGGCTTTATGAAAAACATTGGCTTGGATGTTAAGTTGGCCTTTCAGCTGGGTTTACGTTTTGATAGATAAAGTAATGCGTGTTTGGTTAATTGCAGACTATTATGAAAATCTATTTTGAACTTTGCCATCATATTTAATTTTTTTTTTTTTTTGCCTAGTTAGGGAAACCAAATGAGGCACATTTTTTCCTGCTGATGAAAAATATAAAGACATATTAGCAGTTATTATAACCCATGTATAGGTTGAGTCAGTCTTCCCCCTTTGTTGCCTCCACTTGGTTATAGCAAACTATTGTCTACATAGGGCTTCTTCTGTTATTTTTAGATTTTAGATAGAATAATACAGAGGTCCCTTATTTACTTGTCTGTGTATATTTAAAACCGTTTTCCTGAGTTCACTGTGGATTTTTTTTTTTTCTTCTGCAGCTATGCTTAATTCAAGGAGTCCTTTCAGACATCAACTTGAAAAAAGGGGAATCTGAATGTCAGTATTACATTGAGCAATTGGAGTACCTTGAGGATAAACAAAAGGATCCACGAATAGATTCCAGCAAAGTGCTTCTTTGTCATGGGGAGTTGAAAAATAAAAATGGACATGTAGGTGTTTTAATTGACTACATTCCAAATGTTTCTTTCTATTACTGCTTTTATGGGTGTATATAGAATCTAAGAGAACCCAATAGCATTAGGAAGAAAAGTTGTTTGTTTTTTTTTGTTTTTTTTAAATGCTCTAGTGTTCTTAATAAAAATAGCTTCTTTTTTTTTTCCCCAGCACTCGCTCAATGAGCTGCCAGCGATGTTATGCCAATCTAATGCTCCTCATATAAAACATTGGGGACAAAAAGCGCATGCACTGTGCTCCTATTGGAGCCCCATAATCTCTTCAATTTGTTGACATGATTATGGTGCTTAATAGTGTTCCTTCTAAACTGAATTATGTTAAATAGGAAATAGACCTATACGGTTTGTTTTTGCTTTTCCTGACTCTGTCTATGGAATATATATTAAGGATTTACGTTAAGGATCTTATCCCATTGCACATATTGTGCACACAAAGTGTTTTTTCTTTTGTTTTTTTTGTAACTTGATGCAACAGATTATTTTAATAAAAATGTAGGTTTCACATTTGCGAAGCTGTGTAATCATTAAATAAGCTGAACCTAGAATGGGTACTCAAAATTATTAATTTTTTTTTTTTTTCTCTTCTCTCTTGTAGAAGTTGTATCTGTTTCTGTTCCAAGACATCCTGGTTTTAACACGTCCAGTTACAAGAAACGAGCATCACTATTATCAGGTTTACAGGCAGCCTATCCCTGTTCAGGAACTGGTTCTAGAAGATCTCCAAGATGGGGATGTGCGGATGGGAGGTTCTTTTCGAGGAGCATTCAGCAATTCTGATAAAGGTATGTTGCTTTCTGCAAGGTTATTCCATGTCTAAAATTGTACAATTTAAATAGCAAATCATGCTATGTTGCATAATGCAAATAGTGTACCATTAATCTAAAAGAAATTACCACTGTGCATTTCATGTCAAAAAGTTTAGTTATGAGTTTCCAACCTAGTTAGCCGTAACTTTTTATAGTTTATATAAAATACTTAAATTGGCTAAATAATAACCAATTATATAACTTTGTGACTAAGTGTAATCATAAAATTTTTATTTTTTTTATTTTTTTTAACATAATTACACTTATTTTGTACCTGATGAACATTTTTCAGCCTTGAGGTTTACTACTTTTAAATTATGTAATTTTTGAATATGTGTGTGTATATATATATATATATATTTATTTATTTATTTATTTCTTATTAATTCTAGCCAAAAATATATTCAGAGTTCGTTTCCAAGAAGCCTGCCATGGCCAGAGTCATACCCTTCAAGCAAATGATGTCTTTCACAAACAGCAGTGGCTCAATTGCATTAGAACAGCGATTTCACCATACCAGCAAGCATCTCCAACAGAAGTGAAGGAGCTTCCTGATGTCAATGAAGAATGTGAAGAAAACCAACCACCAGTGCCAAACATCAAAGGACAACGAAGGGAGTCAACCATATCTGGTGTTATGGATATAGACTTAGACGAAAATGAGCAAAGTCCTGTCTTGGACACCTCAAAAGACATTAAAATTGTGAAAACACAAAGAACACAGACTGGTAGTTGTAAAATACGAGAGAACACACAGCAGAGCATTAAACGAAAAGAAACCTTGGTTTAAGTTCCAAGCTGACATTTGGAGGGACTTGTTATTTATAAATGTGTACATTTTTTTTCCCTTGTAACGTCAGAATGTGTGGATTTCATTTGATCCTACTGTACTGTTTGCCTTCTTCCCCTTTCAGTGGCAGCTACTGGTATGCAGTTGACATTGTTAAAACTGGAGTCTGTTTTCTTGATGTTTGAATAATCCTAAGTGAAAATAAAGGAACTCCCCCCCCCATGGAACAATTTCTATTTTCACATGTAAATATTTATGCATGCAGGAAGTTGCATGTGGAGTGAGAGATTCCTAAAGTGAAATTTCATCTAGCATCTATAGTTGTGTTCAATGTTTTCCAGGGATTTTTCCAGCTGTATGCTCAAGCATATTTAAGCAGTAACCTGAGCCACTATTTTATGTCCTTGCAGTATCCCAAAAGTTTACCCTTTAAGGACCAGCATTCATTATTTGTAATCAAACCAATTCAGCGTGTATAGGCCCTACTCTGTCATAAGCAGTCATATTCAATTCTAGAGCTACTAAAGGGGAAACAGGTCATTTTAAACGCTATATTTTGACAATAGAGTAGATCGTCCCTGGTCCTTTAGGGTTAATACAAAACAAATCTAAAACAGACTCTGAGATTTTAACAGGTTTTACATGTTACCTACTGGAAATGTTTCTTGTTTACTGTACATTCCTCCTTTTTATATGTGTATCCTGACAAGTATTTAATTTTTTTTAAGTAGCTTAGGTTTTTTTTTTTAATGTTTTTTGTATTTTGAAGATGGGTTTGATTTTCTCTAATCACATGTATCCAACATTTTGGATCATATTTACATACCTTAAAGGGCAGCTGGATGAGAAAACACTTAGTCCTTTACTCGTATTTTAATTTTTTTTATTTGTTTTGTAGGCACTATTGTGTTAGAGGTCAGTAGGAATTCAGAGTTGGAACTAGTGAAGGAGTTAAGCAATGTTATTCTTAATTTGTAGAAGTGAGGTTTTTTTTTTGGTTTCAAAGACAAACCACTTGATGCTTAGTGGGCCATGGAAATGGCAAGGATAGGATTATGAAGGTTTTTTTGTATGTTGTAGAAGGTCAGAGGGCATGTTGTAAATATATATATATTTTTTTCGAAAGAGTTTGAAAGAGAAGGTGAAACGGACAAACCTGATATCAGTATGATTTTACCAAATGTCTGTCAGATAAGAAAAGTCAAGCTCAATAATGTGAAATAATGGTATTTAGCAATAAGCAACAAAACTTAATGCTGAAAATGTTGATACAGTGTTTGAAAGATAATCCCTGCCCATCCAATTTACTCTGCTGTACTTTGCATATACTGTAACATTTTCCTTCTGTTGGATGTGCTACCATGATGGGATTTCAGAAATTGTACATACATGAAATAAGCGGTTTCTGTAAATTGTTCTGTACAGCTATACGTCTTCAAGTACAATAAAAATCAAAAATCCCAGACATCTGTTCTTTCTGCATGTGAAAGATTTGGCAGTGGAATGTTGTACAGAATAGGAATCCTGGACCAAGTGAACGGCTGCATGGACGAAAGGCTGCCTTGAGTCTATAACCACCTATTCTTAAAATACTTCCTGAAACAACTGTTTTGCCCTCCTCCTCCCTGAAGGGTTATAGATTCAGATGATAAATCAGATTTGCTTTGTAGTTTGAAATGTTACATTTGATTGTTATCAAGTTAACTTAGGAATAGGAAACCATTATACAACTACAAAACATTTAAACTTTAACAACAACAAAAAGTGTTTTAATAAGAATCTTACAATTTTAGGTTTTTACTTAAGTACAGGAATTGGTGGCACACAACTCCAGATTTCTGTAAGAAGAAATGGAGCACTCTAGATCTTGATTTTTGTAAGACATCCAAAGTGTGGAATGTCAGACTTAAGGGTTTGAAAAAACATAGAACTGTAAGGACCCTCTACACCAGGGATTGTTTAAATAACTTGCAAGCCTAGAAGTTTGTATGCAAAATTAGAAAATTGGTGAGTTGCTTTATTTCCGTGTTAATATGTATGCTGAGCAAGTGAAATAGCACATTTTAGTAATCTATGACACATAAAATGGGTCCCGAAATTACATCTATTGCAAAACCTGAGGGATTTACAATAAGGGTGCTTTTAATAAGCAGAAATGGCAGCGATGGATTCTTAAATATGGTCATAAAATATTGTTGAATGGAAATCGCATATGACCAATAAAATTAAAGCATGATGGGCAAAAACCTAAACTTTCTCATTGGTTGTTGTAAAAGTATACAGACCAAAAACATCTGAATTTCATGATCATTTAAAAAAAAAAAAGTCCATGGATTAAATATTGTATTTCAATAGTTTTGTCTGTCATTTTTCACCTGGCCAAAGCTGTTTACTAGCTACAATTAAAACCCACTTTTCTTTTGACAACATATTGCATGTGGGCATAATTTTAATGGAACATATCCTAGTTAAATTGAACAAGTAAAGATGAGGAAACCTTTTGATCACAAATGAAGCTGCAGAGTAAATTTCAAGAGGGTAATGGCATGTGGCCTAAAGACCAAGAGATGTCTAAGAGTAAATGGCAAGTACATTTATTACATTGTTACTTGAACATGTTATTAGTTCTTAAAGGACTACCAAGCACCATACCTCTAGACCCTGCTGTAGTGGTTTGGTGCCAGGTGTGTCCTAGTGCCACCTCAGCGTAATTTGTCAGTGTTGGGAACTGGGTCTCCTGGGTGTGTGTTGGCTGTAAGAACTCTTATCTTTCTCAGCCAATTAAAGTGTCCCTAAAGGACTCTGTTTAACACAGTGGAGCTAACTGAATTTTCATGCAAGGATAATCTGGAAGGTAGCCATGCTAAGCTAGTGACACTTCAGATACTATAATGCTTTAAAGGAAGGTTAGGCAACATTTGGCACTCCAGATGTGAACTACATTTCCCCTGTTGCTTTGCCAGCATTCTGGCTTTAAAAGCATTAAGGGCGATGTAGTCCACAACATTTAGAGTGCCCAAGATTGACTACCACTGCTTTAAAAGGTTATTTTAAGCAACATAACCACTACATCCCACTGTGCTTATGATGGTAGGAGTATCCGGTCCCCATCTCTTAGCAATGGAGTAAACTGGTTTTCAACGGTTTGCCCTTCTACCTTACAGTTTACCCTGGTCTCCACCAGAGTGGTCCTCTATGGCTGTTGACTTGCATATATGACCCTTCATTAGATGAAAGCATCCGCTCACTGCGCTCAGCCAATGAATGCAACTATGTGCATATAAATATGGCATTACATACATTTCAGTTACACTTCCAGCAGCAAGGGAGTCTAACTCTACATGTGCAGCGTTTAATAGCAAAAACACCACTTACAGAATAAAAGCATAATTTTTCAGATGACTGAAGTGGTCATGGTGCTTGAAGTAACTGTTGGGATTTACATTCAACAGCCAGCCACTTCAATAGTTTTCCTCTGAAATAGAGCAAACATGTCACCATCCAAAAACAACTACTAGAAAACCGATAAGGAAAAACAGGAGATCATTGGATAATGAGTGCGCTATATTGGTGATCAAATTAGTAAGTAATCATTCATATACACAGTATAGCCTTATGTGTGAAAATACAGTTGCATGTAACATTTATCTGTGTATGTGTTGGTTTTATAAATGTCTCCAGTTTTACAATATATAAGCATAGGGTTGGCTTTCTTTTGAAGCCTTAACTTTTAATTCCCTTGACAAAAGAAAAGCCTGAAGGCGTGTGAATTAACATAATGATATTTAGTGCCCACATTCCTTAGGAATTCTGGGCAAGATCTGTATTGGTGAGAAGGGCCTCCTCATACATCCTCTAATTGCAATAACAATCCCAGCTTTCTAGTGATCTCTCCCTTAAATGTTTAAAGCGGCAATGTTAGGTTAAAGGAACGTACATAGTAGGTGCTTTGAGGAAACGTGACCATATTTCTATGTACTGTTAAAAATAAATGTAGCTTTGAAGAATAATTTATTATAGCTTGCATTAAAAAGTAGAGTAATATTTTTTTCCATAGTTCCCTGTTCTATATATATATATTCTGTAAATACAGTTCTTGGCTTCACACTGAAATCTGTACATTGCACAGCAGGCGACTGTATATGGATATATTCCATGAACCAAGCTATTTGTCGAATTTTAATAGATTTGTGCAGCTCTTATTAGCCTAAATTCCAATTTATTCATTTAGGAGAGATGAGAGTCCACAAAGCCAATTACTACTCTAGAGCTACAAGTTATGATGTCATATACAACTATACTATTCAAAAACTGAATTTATTGAGCAAAGCTTTTTTTAACCAAAGGAAAAAAAAAATGAAATTGAGATAACAAGACCTGAACTACATGCTATAAATCATACAGCTCTGTGCTAGTGTCCCTTTAAACTACATTAATAGTTTTTACAGACAAGGCTGAACTTGCTTTAGAGAAGGAAAAGAAGACAGGACTGCTGTTTAGATTTAGATAATGGGTGTTTTGGAACAAAGCCAGACAATCTCAATCCAAAGGAATCCGATCTTTTTGTAGGAACTGCCTTGGGTTATTCAGGAAGGTGGAAAAATGGACTAAAATACATTATGTATGGAATGGTTGGCTTGTGCTAACAAAATCCCTGTTTTTCCATTCTATGTATCTGAACATTTTATATTTGAGAAGGAAATGTCAGTTGTTTTGTGTCTACAATGTAGATGTTCATGAAATCATTATAAAGATAGAATAAAGGGTAAAAAATTGTAAATTAAAATACGACTGATTCATGTTAGTGGTACACGGACTGTCCTGCAAAAGGGTTAAATAACATAAAAAAGGGGTGTTATTTATAAAATAGTGTGCAAGCTACCTTTTTTGGAGAGAAGGGGGGTAAAGAATGCTATGGCTGTTGCTGCCATCCAGTAATGTGAGTTTGACTTCGGGGCTTAATTTTGTGTGTTGAGGCATGGACTCCACAAGCCCTTTGAAAGTGTCCTGTGGTATCTGGCACCAAGACAATAGCAAGTTGTGAGGTGGTGTCTCCATGGATCGGATTTGTTGTTCCATCACATCCCACAGATGCTCCAGCAGATTGAGGTCTGGGGAATTTGGATACCAATGCAACACCTTGAACTCTGTCATGTTCCTCAAAACATTCTTGAACAATTTTTGCAGTTGGGCAGTTGCCTTATTGTGCTGAAAAAGATCACTACCGTCAGGGAACATCATTGCAATGAAAGGGGTGTATGTGGTCTGTAACAATCTCTAGGTATGTGATACATGTCAAAATAAATCCACATAAATATCAGGATCTAGGATTTCACAGCAGAACATTTCCAAGAGAATAACGCTGGCCTACCTACTTCCCATAGTGCATCCTGCTGCTATCTCTTCCCAGGTAAATGATGCACATGCACATAGCCATCCCCCTAATCTAAAATAAAACTTCCATTGTTCTATGGTCCAGATATGATGCGGACATCTCTATTGAAGGTGCTTTTGGCAATGGAGAGGGGTCATCATGAGCATTCTTACTGGTATAGCTCTACGTAGCCCCAAACGCAGCAAATTGTGATGCACTGTCTGTTCTGACATCTTTATATCATCGTCAGCATTAAGTTTTTCAGCAATTTGAGCAACAGTAGATCAGAACAGATGGGCTAGCTTTTGCTCACTATGTGCATCGATGACCCTTGGGTGCCCATGACCCTGATGCTAATACACTGGTTGTCCTTCCTTGCACCACTTTTGGTAGGTACCTACCACTGCATACTGGAAACACCCAATAAGTAGACGTTTTGGAGATGCTCTGACCCAGTCTTCTATCCAACACTATTTTCACTTGCCGATTTTTCCCGCTTCCAACACATGAAATGCAAGAACTGACTGCTGACCTGCTGCCCAATATATCCCACCCCTTGACAGATGTCGTGGTAACAATATAATCAATGTTATTTACTTCACCTGACTGTTTTTAATGTGGCTCATCAGTGTATGCACTGGTTTTATAAATGATTTTACCATTTATTACATTTGCAAATAAGTAATATTACTTTGAAATTTGTAATCTGGATTAAAATACAAAGAGTGAAGAGAAACTGTAAAAAATATGGAACAAATTATAGAATAATTAGGCAGAAATATGAGAAGCTCCAGGAAAAACAGCATAGAAATTGGATGCAATACTTTACATTCCGAGTACCCTACCCATTTTTACACTTTTTAAAGTGTAAAAAGTGTAAGGAGCTCCCTAGTATCTCAGTTACATGGTTAGCTCACTCTGTCATCTTGCCACGGTTAAAGGACCACTCTAGGCACTCTAAGTGGTCTGGGTGCCAGGTCCAGCTAGGGTTAACCCATTTTTTTATAAACATAGCAGTTTCAGAGAAACTGCTATGTTTGTAAATGGCTTAATCCTTCCTCCAATTCCTCTAGTGGCTGTCTCACTGACAGCCGCTAGAGGCGCTTGCATGATTCTCACTGTGAAAATCACAGTGAGAGCACGCAAGCGTCCATAGGAAAGCATTGTAAATGCTTTCCTATGAGACTGGTTGAATGCGTGCGCAGCTCTTGCTGCGCGTGCGCATTCAGTCGAATGGGAGGAGAAGAGGAGGATCAGAGGAGGAGAGCTCCCCGCCCAGCGCTGGAAAAAGGTAAGTTTTAACCCCTTTCCTCTCCCCAGAGCCGGGCACCCTCAGGGCACTATAGTGCCAGGAAAACGAGTATGTTTTCCTGGCACTATAGTGGTCCTTTAATAAAATGAGTACTGTTGGGACCTCGTGATGTATTTGGAAGCTGGCAAAAGGTAAATGTATCTTCCTGATATATTTACTTGGTATTAAAATTACATTGTCCTTCAATCTATTTCTCAATGTTGCAACTATGCCATAACTGTGATAGCATAGCTTTACATAGAAACATAGAATGTGACGGCAGATAAGAACCATCGGCCCATCTAGTCTGCCCAATTTTCAAATACTTGAATTACTAGTTCCTGGCCTTATCTTAAGTCTAGGATAGCCTTATGCCTATCCAACGCATGCTTAAACTCCTTTACTGTTTTAACCTCTACCACTTCAGCTGGAAGACTATTCCATGCGTCCACTGCCATCTCTGTAAAGTAATACTTCCTGATATTATTTATTCTTTATTTATTTAAAGAAAACCAGGCTAAATTATGCTACAAGGCAAACAACAAGTTGCATGGTGTCTAATTGCTTGCTGAATCTATTATTTTCTAATTTTGCATTTCTTAAGGTGCATTTCTAACATTGTACAAACCCATTAGAAGATGGATTAAAGGATCACTAAAGCCACTCGGACTTACTCAGTCAATCACTAACAACAAAGTGGTCTATGTTCAATGGTCCTATAATTTTAACCCTTTAAAGTAGAGTTAAGCACGCCTCTAGTGGCTGTCTTTCTGACACTTCCACCTCCATAACTGAGTAAAACTTGGTTCTTCAATCAAATGCCGCTGATAACATTTGATTGGAAGAGAGCAAGGTTTTGGTGCATGTTCTCATCTCCAAGATCACGGGTGACTATGTCTAAGGTGGAGCTGGAGGCTACAGCAGAGATAAGTCATTTTTATTTTCAGAATCGTAGATTACATTTAATACTAGAGGATCTTTATATACGTTGAGTAATCTTCAGTTAAATGATAAAAACAGTGATCTTTGTCACAAACCTATGTTACAAGAATTAAGTGCTGCAATTGTAGGGGGTTGACTTTGGATGACCAGTTATTAACGTAATGATTTCAATACCCTGTTTGTTAGATACTCTCTCTGTTAGCAAACTATGCGGAGTGCTACACTTTGCAAAACTATGACAAATATTTGCTTTCTGTCTGATAGGTCTAATAGCTCTTTTCCATTTCTCAAGTTTGTGGCTGAGGTCATTTTAGCTGTATGCGGTCAGTTCACATGAGATTGTGACTTATACAGAAGAGATCATGTATAACTGTAAATGAATGAGCTAGACATCGCTTACTGTAAATAAGTAGTTTAGAATGTGGTATTTCCTGGTGAATGTTTTTTTCCTTGTGTATAACAACCCAATAACTCCCTCCCCAAACTCGCCCCAGTGGGGTGAAACACAACAACATATCCAATTATGTGATACTTTTTTTTTAATGTAGACATTAAAAGAACACTTGGTAGCATAAAAACCTAATTTACATGAAGCACCAGAAGGTCCCTGGTGCTTGTTACCCGTAGGGGTTAAATCATTCATTAAGTACCTTTTTTATAAACGGGGAGCTACTGATTGGCTTAGAGTGTCAAATTACCGCTCTGAGCCAATCAGCGACATCCATGCTTCCTCTTGCTGAATTTCAGACATCGGATGCTGATGAGGACAACGAGGAACAACGTTGTGTTAGACATGATAATATGATAACCATCAACAATATAGTTTAATATCTAGCATAACAATGCATACCACGATACAATACTTACTTATACATACTAGACCAAGACATATTAAGTTGTGTACGACGGGGGATGCAGAACAGCCAAAACAATATATATTGCCTTAACAAAGAAAAGAGGGCTCAATTATGTTGGAAACTTTAGTAACCAACATTGCCATACCCATCGGAAATTTTTATACTGCTGCTGGGCAGAATAATACCCCTTTTCCATTTGAGCCTGATGTCTAATTTGATGAATTATCACCTTAGTTCTTATAATATCTTTTATAATCTTTAAAGCCAGTATGCGTTGTTTAAACATAGCTTTATTCTTTTTCGATAATATATCTAAATCCATATGGAACTACGAGTGTTTTTGCAGAATATTTCCAGTGAACCTTTCTCTCTATATATTGTATCAATTTTTTATTGTCAGTGAAATACTTGGAAATACTTCAACTATTTTGAGAAATCTTTTATTTTCCGCATCCTGTTTTTCTCATCAGATACATAAATAAAATAAAAAATAAAAATAAAACTCCCCGAAAAAACCCATACAGAAAACCAAAAGCAGATTGTATTCACATAACGGGAATTAAATCATTTTTTGTAAATGTAGTGATAGTATTCATTCCTTACACAATGCTTTCCTGCCTTCCTGTTCAGCTTTAGCTGTGTAGCTGTGTATAGTAAGTAGGGATTCTATGTATGTGATGATATCATGTCAAAGAATGTGCTCATACAGCATTCTTTCACACCGGTGACATGACCATACTGTGGTGTCTGGTTACTTTTATTTATTTTTTTAAAAAGAAGAGTCCAGTAGAGTAGGACATTTTTTTTTTTTTTGAGGTTGAAAAACTAAGAGGTAATATGTAAAAGCACCAAGTTACAAAAATGGTAGTAGATCACTGGAATAGCCACCCATCAACTGAGAAAACTTGAAGCAGTCTAAGTAACCTATTGAAATAATTTAGAGTTAGCTGTGTGACTGTACTAAGGTCGTAGGTTTGTGAAAGAAATGTCCTGGGTGTCATTATCATAAATAAAAAATTAGCATATTTTTTCTTTTTTCAATTTGACAATTTTTATTACATTTTCCGGGGTACAGAAAAGAAAGAGGAATGTCAGGGGCTAATCATTTTTCAAATAAGCGATACATTGTATTGCAACAAAAAGATACACTTCCTTTGTCTGGTAGTTTCCTCTGGACCTGTGTTAGGTGTATCTACTCTCTGTTTTGTATTGCAAGGAGCCATGCCTTGTCGCTTCTCAACCGCTTGTGTTTGAAGTTTAACAATGTGGACTGACATTGGGGGTAGGGTACAGATATAGCATTAGCATGGGGGAAGACCATAATGCAATATGCTGAGTACACCTAAGGTCCTCCAGTATAATTTGAAATTGTGTTTGTTTTGTAGTGTGATTGTCACAACAGGTTTGCTACATGCTTTAACAGTTATCTATTAATTGTACACATAGTTAAAATGGAGTAACTGAGCATGTAATGTAGGTGTAGGTGGCTGACTGCTAGAAAGGTCTTTCCAATGGTAAATGACACACAGATCATACTGTCACACAGGTGTGGATCAAGGGGGTGCATGTGGCAAGATCTATTCCTTAGTCAACCAAGTACCATGTCTTTATTTTGACTGGATATGAGAAGTAAAGCCTTTTTCTTGCTTTGTCCTTGTCGTGTAAGGTCGGAGCAGTGTAGAGATATGTGAAATCACCTCTCCCACAATCCACGAGTATAAGACATGGGGGAGGGAGTTAATAAGGTGTATACATATGGTAAGGGAGTTAAAAAGATAATTAACACAAGCATCAAAAGAGTGCTTTAGGAAAGTGGTATGGGCTGCAGAGAGCGACACGGCAACGCAATTAACACTTAGTTATATATCATATATAATACAGAAAAACCTGTGTAGATCGTTTACTCAAAAGTCAGTTGAGGTGAAATGAAAAAAAAAAAATACTTTTCGAATCTTAGGCCAAAATAGTAGTGATGTAAACATTATTTAGCTCTAGTTTTTCAACTTGGCTATTTTAGTTTTTTAGATCACCACAAGTCTTAATCTAAAGGGACACTATAACAACAAATGGTTTAACCCTAAACTATTTAAGCCAGCTCCCTTTTGCTCTGCTCTTGAAATTTGGCTCCATGTCCAAGGCTTAAAAAGGACGCCTTGGTCCGGGTACCTTTGTTAGCTCCAGATTGAGAAAAGAGAGTGAATAAGATCCGTATGTTTTTACATATCTGGTATGTGGCTTCCTGATTGAAGTTCGGGTATGGAGCAGAAGTTCAAGGGCAAAGTAATTGCGCGCTCACTTGAAGATTTTGGTGTGGACCTCCTTATACCATAACAAGTTTATTCTGATTTGTTGTTACGGTGCCAGAATAAAAAAAGTAATCCTTTCATAAATAATCCCCCTTATGTCTGTACTTGCATTGCTCATCTTTCTCTAATTGTAACAGTTGTCACATAAATATTTTAATTTGTTTATAAAAAACAACACAACATTTGAGAACTTTAAGGTATGTCTTTGCCCATACTGCATGGATTTATTTTTCTGTCTGCCTTTCAATTTGCCATGGTATCCCATTTAAAATTGGGTTCTGGAGCTGTCGCAAATGAACTGATTAGGGCAGCACAAAACCAGGATACACCACTGCCTGTAACCACACCTCCATTAATACCCCTTACAATAAAAGAGTCCCTCTTGGCCATTCAAATTGCTGGAAGAAATGCAAGGTTTAGGTGTGATGTTTGAGCGAGGTTGAAGTTCATTACAATGCAAGCAATGAAGAAATTATACTGCATGACATGCAACTTCATCGTGTGCATGGCTCCGGATTCAAGAAGATACTTCCTGTTTGTTGTATATGGAATCTGAGGCTCTGCAGAGGCACATATGTAATAATGAGACTACTTGTAAAACTTAGAGATTCCTTAAAGAACTTCCATACTACATCTGATTTTGTAAAGTAACATTTATTTGGAAAGTCTCACATAGAGCAAGCAGAGAACAGCAAAACAAAAACATTGGTAAAAGGGCACAACGGTGAGCTAAGCACAGCAATTAAGCGTATTCAGAAAACCACTATTGCGGCTATATAATCCTGTGTGTGAAATAGCGGCATAGTAGACCACTTAGTGGTTACAACCCTTTAGTCCATACTTAGACTAAACTAAACAAGGTAACGTAGCAAATCTAGAATTTTGAGATACGAAAATTTCATATTTGCGTGTTATTAACATAAAAAGAATGATTTTACTCTGACAGCATACATTTTCTGTAACTCTACCCTGTCAGTGTTGCCAAAATTGAGGCAGTTTCTCTGTTTACACTGATCAGCCGCAACATAAAAACCACCTGCCTAATCTCGTGCTGCCAAAGAGCTCTGATGTGTAGAGGCATGGACTTCACAAGATTTATGAAAGTGTTCTGTGCTATCTGGCACCAAGACATTAGCAGCAGATCTTTTAAGTCTTGCAAGTTGCGGGTTGGGGCCTCCATGGATCAGATTTGTTGCTCCAGCAAAGCCCACAGATGCTCAATCAGATTAAGATATTGGGGATTTTTCTCTTTGTCATGTTCCTCACATTATTCCTGAACAATCTTTGAGGTGTGGCAGTGTGCATTATCCTCATAAAAGAGGCCATTGCCATCAGCAAATACCATTACCATGGTCTGCCACGATCCTTAGGTAGGTGGCATGTGTCAAAGTAACATACACATAAATGCCAGAACCTAAGGTTTCCCAGCAGAACATTGCCCAGAGCATAACACTGCGTCTCCTAGCCTGCCTTTTTCTCATAGTGCACCCTGTAGCCATCTTTCTCCCATTCACACACACTCGGCCATCCACCTGATCTAAAAGAAAATGTGATTCAATACAAGATGAAGTCACATATGTACGTTCTTTCTCCTGCTCTTTTGAAAAAGGAATTGTTTATTTCAAATTCTCCCTTAAAAAAAGATTGTTTTATTTACACACATGTCTGAAGCAGGTTTTATAGACGGCTTTAGGAGGCCCCAAAAAAGAGGAGCATGTTTCAAAATTCTCTTTCTCGTCTTTCTTCCACGGTAGGTGTGGAAAGTCACACGTCTGGGACCTTCCAGTGAAACTTCTGAACTATATATATATATATACTCCTTGTGTTTTCCTCTATTTTTATGTATTCCTGGCATACAGTCATACAGTGGATATAATAAAGGAGAGATCTCTGAATAATGTTAGATTGTGTTGTAGAGCAGTGGACTGCCAGCACCACGCATCTATCATGTTTGGAATCCACACTCCTCCACCTTTCTGTGATTAATAAAGCACAGACACTCCACATCACTGTATACTGTAATCAGACAGATATTAAAATGGACATACGGAGAATATGGCATGAAAAAAATAGATAAAACAAGGGATTTTTGTGCAGGAGATGAACTGCTGTGCTTCAGTTTTCTAAACTTGTTTTATAACACAGTTGATATATGTATTGCTGTTTTGCTTTTGACACAGTTTATAAGTTGTATATTAAACACGAACTCTGTGATATTGCCAGATGCAGATGCATGTGTGTGTATAAGAAGCTGTAGATTTATGAAGGGCGGGCTTGCAGCGTTAAGTGTTTAGAGCTAGTCTCAGTATTCATCGTTCAGAGGCTTGCATTGTTGCGGCTCACTGTGCCACTGCGTTGTGAGCTCTCGGACTGTAGTTATGGCATAAATTGCAATAAACAAATTTAAATTTGCAATTATGATAATTGTTTATACACAATTGCGAGGTATGGTTGCATAGCCTGTCAGTTGTGTATACATATGTGCTGGTGTGAAGGGGTTATTGGAAACAAACGTTTATTTTAGTTGGGCTTTTAAAAAAAATCTGTCACAATCTGTATTTATCTGGCTGTGTGTATTTCTGAGTGTGTTTTGCATTGTCTACCTATCTGGGTGCCTGAGAGTGTGTGTCTGACAGTGAGTATCCTTGTATCTGTATGTATGTTTCTCTGAACATGTGTATGTTTGTGTATTGCCTGTGGCCTTTGGGCACTGTGTTTTTGACGAAGCTATGTTTTATGACAGTGTGCATAATGATTGCCTTCAGAGGGTGACAAGGTGAGTAAAGGGGTAACTGTGGCAGGATGAGTGTAAAAGAGCAAGGGGTTGAATAAGACAGGGTTAGGGCGTGAGTGTGACACAATGAGTGAAAGTGAGTGTGACATGGTTTGAGGATGAGAGGAGGTATGTATGACAGGATTAAGGGAGTAATGTGATAGGGTTAATGTAGCATGCTTGGGGTTTGAGTATCACAGGGTTGGGGTGAATGTTGCATGGTTGGAGAAGTGAGTGTTACAGGGCAAGGGGGGATGAATGTGACATGATTAATGGGGGTTAATTGAGAGGGCAAGTGTGACAGGATTAGAGTCGTTATTGTGACAGGTGAAGTGTGGAAAGGTTGGGGGGCTGACAGAGCTGGAGATGAGTGTGGCACGGTTAGAGGAGGGAGTGTGTCAGGACGAGGGGAGGTTGGCGTGACAGGATTGGAGGGGTTTATTTGACAGGGTGATTGGTCCAGAGTGAAGGGAGTAGAGTGTGATAGGGCTAGGAGGTGAATGTGACAGTGCGAGAAAAGGTGAGTGTGACAGGATTAGGGGGATTCATGTTATAGGGTAAGTGCTGCATGATTGGATGAGGTGACTGTGACTGAATCAGGAGGAGTTAATATAAGTGTGTGAGGGTGACAGTGTGTGTGGGGGTGGTAGCAGAGTCTGGGGGTGTCAGTTTGTGTTAGGGGTAACAGAGTGTATGGCGGGGAGTTCCAGAATGTGGAGGGGGTGACAATATGTATGGAGGGGGGTGCCAGAGTGTAGAGGGGTGACGGTGTGTATGGAGGGGGTGTAAGAGTGTGGAGGAGGGTGCAAGAGTGCAGACGAGAGTGACAGGGTGTATGGAGGGGGGTTCCAGAGTGTATGGAGAAGGGTGCCAGAGTGTGGAGGGGTGACAGTGTGTATAGAGGGGGCTGCCAGAGTGTGGAGAATGGTTCCCGTGTGTGTGGAGAGTGGTGTCAGTGTGTGTGGAGAGTGGTGTCAGTGTGTGCGGAGAGTGGTGACGGTGTGTTTGGAGGGAGTGACAGTGTGTATGGAGGGGGGTGACAGTGTGTCATAGACCGAGAACCCAACAGTTCAGTCTACCCTATGGCGATTAAGGCAGCCACGAGGCCCCAGACAGCGCAAGGCCTTAGGCAGCCGCCTAAATGGCCTAATTAGACAGCCGCCTCTGAACACAAGCAACAACCCTAGCAGAAGTACTAACACCAAATCTAACACAAAACTTAACCCTAACAGCAACATTGACAGCTAAACTAACACCAATCTTAAAACTCCCACCATACATTACCCCAGTACTGGTCATTGTGTAAACCAGACACATGCCCAGTGTGCCATGAGGGCCATGGTCCAAGGCCAACAGAGGAGAGCAAGAGAGTGCTTGATTGCCAGCCCAGAAAAGGGTCTCCACAACTAGTGGAGAGATCAAAGGTCTCCCTCACTAGCCAGGTCACCCTGATGCCAAAGGGAGAATTTGGTCTGCCTTACTCTACTTTATAAGAACGTCAGTGCTCTGATACTTTCCACAGAAGAAGTTGTCTGCATTTACAGAGCGTGCAGACAAGCAGCATCTCCCTGGCCAAAGGTAAGTCTCAATGAGGGGGAATACACTTTATTTTTTATATTTATATTTTAATTGTATATACATTACCTCTATCCACCCACTACTACCCTATCCCCATCACAGCCCCTATAACTCCACTATTGTTCCTATCCCCACATCAAAGCCCTCTCCCACCATCACAACCCCAACACTCTTATCACAGCCCTTATCCCCCATCACACTTTGACACAACACACCCTCTCATATTGGACTGCTCTGCTTTTTTTTTTTTTAAGACAATTTTTTATTAGTTTTCAAGCATATGGGGTACAGAAAAGAGAAGGGAGTTATAGGGGTAGCATTGGAAAAAATGCAAACAATAGGATAATGCATAAGAGGTGTTGACAAGGTTGTCGACACTGTTATTCCGAGTTCTTGTAGGCAGACCATATCCATAACATCTTGACACCCAATATGTGTATAAGTAAGGTTACATGGTGTAGTTTTTTACTTCCGCAATGTCTACCTGTTGTTAGGCGTCTGTGGGCAAGTCAGTCTGGTTAAGAAGGAGGGCTGGTTCTCTATGCACGGTGTAGCATATCGGTACATTCTGTTAGGCTATACATAATGTTCTTAGGGTGGGTTCTGGGAATTTGTGGCCTGGTTGAATAAATGTGTCCACTGTTTCCACGTTAAGTGGAACTGCTGTGATTCTATACTATGGGCTAATGTCATATGTTCATAAACATGGTATTGTTGAATCTTGTCCCATAGTTGTAACTTTGAGGGGCATAGGTGCGACTTCCAGTTTGTCGCTAGAAGGTTCCTGGCCGCTAGTAATGTGATGGCGCATACCTGTCTGTGTTCTCCAGTGAGATCACTGGGGAACATAAGCATGAGGTATGTTTGCGGGCTTGGCAGTAGGTTTACGATGCCCAGCATACCCAGCAATCTCCCAACCTCTGTCCAGAGGGGTTGAATCACTGGGCATGTCCACCATATGTGAAGGAATGTGCCTGTATCTCTGGAACATCTCCAGCATGTCGGATACACTGGGGTATATCTTATGCAACCGAAGTGGCGTCATATACCACCTATAGAGTAGCTTCCTATGGGCTTCTATGTGCGTGTAACATCTAGTGAGTTTTGAGAGGCTATTTAGGGCTCTTACCCAGTCTTCCTCTGAGAGTTGAAGGGAGCAGTCTTCCTCCCATTTTGTCCTACAGAGGGGGATGTGCTGTGGTAACGTTGTTTCCCACAGTTTGTAGTAGAGTGAGATGGCTTTTGGTTTGCTTGGTGTGGCCCAACATCTATCTAAGATCCCGCCCACTAGTAATGATTGCTCCCGAGTAGTTTTGTACAGGTTCACATGTGTCAGTATGGTCCCTTTGAGTCTAAGGTAAGTAAATATTTCACCCATCGGTAGGTGCCATTTGGCCTGTATGTCTGCGAATGCCATTACGCCCTTATTGTCTAATAAGTGCTGGACATTGGTGATTCCTGCCTTAGCCCATTTTGTTAGAGGGAGGTCAGGGGATGCGGCTCCTAAGGCAGTCAGTGGTGCCTGGGTATGGAAGGAGATTTTGCACCCCATTGTGGCCATAAATGTGTCCCATACATTAAGCGTGAGAGACGTTGTGTGGAAGAGGTCTAGTTTAGGGGTCCATAGGACGTCAACTATGTTTAGTGTTTGTAGTTGGGCGTTCTCCATATCTAGAGTGTAGCATTATACCAGTTGTTAACGCTGTTGCCTTATAATATTGGTTGATATTTGGTAGTCCCACTCCGCCCTGTTTGACCTGGGTATATAGAAGTCTACTAGGAATCATGGGCCTTTTATTGTCCCATATAAAGGTGTTACAGGTGTTTTGTAAGCTTTTGAGCAGAGGTTGCGTTACTTTGAGAGGGAGCATACGGAAAACAAAGAATTTTGGGTAGTATGGACATTTTGAAGGCATTGATCCTTCCTAACCAGGATAGATGCGTGTGTTTCCATTTTAGGGTTTCCGCCCTGCACATGTGTGCAGTGGTGTATCCTGGTTTTGTGCTGCCCTAGGCAGGACAAAACTCAGGCGCCCCCCTCCCCCCCGCGCCACCCCCACCCAACCCTTCCCCCGCCCCACCTACACACACACAGTCACACACACAACAAACACACACACACACAGTCAGACACAGTACACAACACACACACACAGTCAGACACAAACACACACACAGTCAGACACATACACAGACACACACAACACACACACACAGTCAGACACAACACACACACAGTCAGACACACACACACACACACACACAGACACAACACACACACACACACAGTCAGACACACACACAGTCAGACACAAACACACACACACAGTCAGACACAAACACACACACACACAGTCAGACACATACACAGACACAAACACAGACACACACACACTCACAAACACACACAGTCAGACACAAACACACACACACATTTTTTTTTTTTTAAATCCCCCCAACCTCCTTACCTTTGGGAGTGCTGGGGGTCTCTCTCCCTGGTGGTCCAGTGGCTGCAGGGCGGGCGGCGCTGGCAGGCGGGCGGGCGGGTGGCCGGCGAGGGAGCACTTCCCATGAGCTGACTGCTCAGCTCCCTCGCGCGTCGGCTACAGAGTGAGGCTGGGAACCGGAAGATTACGTCATCTTCCGGCTCCCAGCCTCACTTTGCGGTGCGCGAGGGAGCTGAGCAGTCAGCTCATGGGAAGTGCTCCCTCGCCGGCCGCCCGGGATGTCAGTTAGCCGCAAGGCTAACAAGGCATCTGCCCTGGGCATTTGGGGGGCGGCGTTTTTTGCCGCCCCCTGAAAAATGCCGCCCAAGGCAAATGCCTTGTTTGCCTCGCGGTTAATACGTCCCTGCATGTGTGGTAGGGGTAGGTAATTTAATTTTACAATTTTAGCTATGGATGCTGCGATTTTGACCCCTAGGTATGTAAGGGAGGAAAGTCTCCAGTAAAATTGATGCTGGCGTTGTAGTATCTTTGTGCGTTCCAGTGGTAGGTTAACTGTCAGTGCTTGAGTTTTATCTTGATTAAGTTTATAATGGGAAACTAGGCCGAAGTCGGTAAGGGTGTTCATTAGGTGTGGTAGGGACTTCTCCGGGTCTGTCAGTGACACCAAAACGTCGTCGGCAAACAACGCCAGTTTGTGTTCCTGGCCTTGCACAAGAATTCCCCTTATGTCAGAACTTGTACGAATTTTAAGCACTAGAGGTTCCAATGATAGGATGTAGAGGAGGGGGGACAAGGGTCAGCCTTGGCGTGTCCCATTAGTGATGGACAATTTGTCAAATGTGAAACCTCCATTGGAGACCTTGGCCACAGGTGCACTATATAGTGCTTCTATCCCCCTAATCATTTCGGGTGGGAATCCGTACCTCCCCAAGACTTCAGACATGTACTTCCAATTGAGGCAGTCGAAGGCCTTCTCTGCATCTAGCGCCAGGAGAAGGCCCCCGGTGTTATTTTTTTCCATATGTGTCAGTATGTTGAGGATTCGTCTGGTGTTATCTGAACCCTGCCGTCCCCGGACAAACCCTGACTGGTCGTTGTGTACTAAGTGTCTGAGGTGTCTGAGGAGTGGTGCTATTCTGTTACTAAGTATCTTGGCATAGATTTTAGCGTGCCTATTTAGTAAAGAGATGGGTCTGAAATTCTTACAGTGTATCGGTGGTTTCCCTGGCTTGGGGAGGGTGGAGATATGGGCCAGGAGCACTTCTGCCGGTAGGGCCCCTTGGTCATTGCTCTGTCTGTACAGTTTCAACAAGTGTTCACAAACAGTTTGTAATAGGCGTTGGTGAGACCATCAGGTCCAGGTGATTTGTCGATGGGTAAGTTTTTGATCACCAAAGTGATCTCCTCTAAGGAAATAGGCTGTCGTAATGACTGTATTGCGGTCGGTGTCAGGGAGGGTAAGCGAAGGTCTTTTAGGAATCTGTCTATGTCCGCTACGGTCGGGACCGCAGTAGCTTCATCTTCATGTAGGTTGTACAACTGACGATAGTAATCTGCAAACATGTTAACAATTTCTCCTGGATCAATGATTTTATTGAGGTAGGCAATCCTGGAGGGGATTGATTTTTGTTTCAATTGCTCTGCTAGCTTAGCACCGGCTCTGTTCCCTGCCGCAAAGAATTTGTGCTTTGATTTTCAAAGGAGGTAGGTTGTTTTGGTTAAGTCTATATCTCGTAGTTGTGTTTGTAAGCTCAAAAGCTTCTGTTGTAACTCCGGGGTGGGTGCGTGTTTGTTTCTGTGTGTGATATGTTTGATCTTGTTTATAAGAGCTAGGTATTGTGCCTTTTGCGTCTTATAGGCATGGCTGGCGTGCTTTATAAAGCTGCCTCTAATAACTGCCTTGTGGGCTAGCCAGACATAGTCTGGATCAATGTCCTGCCTATCATTGTCCGCAAAATAGTTTTGCAGGTCCAGTGTAACTTGCTATGTGTGTTCGTCAACAAAGTGTTATTTAACCTCCAAGATGTCTGGCCAGTATGAGGAAATCGGTCCTTGAGTGTTAACGTGATAGGTGCGTGGTCGGACCATGTGATATCCCCGATGGTGGTGTCTAGTATCTTTAGGAGGGAAGTAGATCTAACCAGGAACCTATCTATTCTGGAGTAGCTATTGTGTACCGCCGTGTGGCATGTGTAGTCAGTTTCATTGGGGTGTGTAATTCTCCAAGGGTCTACGTAATTGTGTGTTGCTAGGATATCGCAAATGTTGTGTGATTGTGCGAGCCTTCTCTTAGAGGTGGTGGGTGCTATCGTATGTGAGGCAGAGGAGTCTTTAATGCTATCGACAAGGAAGTTGGTGTCGCCTCCAAGTATTACCTCCCCAAAGCTGTACAGATTCAACAAAGCAAATATTCGGTGCAGAAACCCCTCCTGATTTTCATTGGGCCCATATATATTCATTAATGTAAAGGGGTTGTTGTTAAGATGGCACTGAATGATGAGATATCTACCTTTCCTATCACTTATCTTGCGGACCAGCTCGAAGGTGACGTGTCTGCTTATTAAAATGGAGACTCCTCTTTTTTTTGTGGAGCAGCAGGCGTGGTGGTCAATAGGGAACCAGGGGGAATTAAATCTGGGCCATGAACCCCATTTAAAATGGGTTTCCTGGAAGAAAGCTACCTGTGCGTTTTGCTTTTTGGCTTCTAAAAGTGCCAGTCGTCGTTTATGGGGCATGTTCAGCCCTTTAGTGTTAAGAGAAATTACTGTGATCGACATCACTCCAGCTATAATTTATTGGGTGGAGGTGAGTATGGCTATGCTGTACTACCTAGCCCCTTTTGTCACCTTACTTCTTCGGTATCGTTGGTAGGGTTGGGAGGGGTGTGGTAGGGTATCAATGTACAACAGTACAACTTGAACTATATACAAGACCCGTTAGCCGGGAGGCTCAGCGCAGAGGTCTGCCGACGGGTAATGAAGTGGCTTACTAGGTAAACCACTTGGGGCGCTGTGGGCGCTGGTGATTGGTACCTGTTACGATTTTTTTTTTTTTGGGTTAGGTTACTCTGAATTGCCGGCAACAACCGGACGTAATGCTATATGTCTACCTTTCCCGGCTGATACACCGTACAGGTGGTACTTCTTAACGGTACAGTTAGATATAGATAAAGGGAATAACAGTGCCAATCAATTAAGGTAAACAATGAAATGGTTCGCCGCCTGTGTGGACTCTCGGCTGTGAAACACATTGCAAGTGAAGACAGCTACTAGGATGCACCAGGGGGGAGCCAAGTGTACAGTTTCATGTGTAAGATACATATCTGTGATCAATCAGTGTTGTTTGGTATCGTTGGGGCCCAGCGTGCCATTGTGGTGTGGAGAAGTTGCCGTTGATCCCACCGCGTGCCATGGGATAGGTCGGTAGTCCCTGGGTTGCTTTCTGGGTGGTGAAGTCGCTGGCGAACGTGCGTTGTCTAGTCGTGCCATTGGGATGTTCCACTCTAATATTTTCGTGGGATACCCCCATTTGTACGGAATAGCTGCATTCCTGAGCGCCACGGTGATAGGTGCAAACGCTCGTCTCTTTAACATAGTTGCCGCGGACAGGTCAATGAACATTTTGACATCAGCGAACGGCTTTGGCAGGGGTGGTTTGTTTCTGGAGGCCTGCATTAGGTGGTCTTTGACTGCAAAATAATGCATTCTTGTGATTACATCCCTCGGCGTAGTTGGGGGTAAGTGCTTCGGCTTCAGCAATCTGTGAGTACGATCCAGACGTAGATCCGAGGTCTCCAGTGCCGGAATGAGCGCCTTAAACATATCCTGAACAAACTTAGCCAAGTCTTGGGGGCCCACTGCTTCAGGAACACCTCGCAGTCTTATGTTGTTCCTTCTGTCCCTGTCCTCGTTATCTGCGATTTTACCTTCTAGAAAGTGTACTTTTCGCTGCAGTGCTGTGTGCGCTTCTGCCAGCTCATTATGGGCCTCTCTCAGCCAATCCGTTGCCTCCTCCAAGTGTGCTGTCCTGTCCCCCAGGGCCTCACCGAGGCATCTGTGGCTGGATGAGTGTTGTGGGTACCAGGGGGGTCCAGGCTTTCTCCACTCTCGTGGTCCGAGGCGGTATAATGCGCTCTGTCGGCGCCATCTTGGTTGCCGTTATTCTCCATCGTTAAGTGAGAATGTAGCGTTTTCTGTTTCAGCTTCTTGGACGATTTGGTAGTCATGTCCTCCCCTGTGCCCTCGCCAGCTTGTGGGAAAGATGTTGGGTGAGTATTGCTGGTGTCCACGCTGTGTTAGTCCACGGAATGGCGGAGCTCTCAGATTATGCGACTGCTTCCATGCAGTGTTAGGCCACGCCCCCGGACTGCTCTGCTTTTAAATGCCTCTTGTTGAATTTATGTCCCAGTCTGGCCTTGAATAACACAATCAGCAACCCTACATCCTACTTATTTTAGGAGACATTATAAACTGCTTGTCTTTTGATCTTATGGTTTAATTTGTTGTCGCCAAAGAAATTTTTTTGTCAAAATATATCTACTTATGTGTCTGTATGTCACATGTCTGTCGATATGTCGGTCTGTCCATCCATCTCTAAAGATAGCTGAATTTAAATGATCAGCCAATTGAATAGGTGGAGCAACAGCAGCAGAATAGGTATGTTAAACAAATATCAGGAAAATCCCAAGCTTAACTTAGCTTAACAAGTTTTCTTCCTATTATCTGATTAAATCATTCTGTGCATTACATTTTGATCATATTAAAAATGAAGGTAGTGCAAAAATGTTGTTTTGCTTCCTAGGTGTTAAATATGTCTGCAAACTAAGGCATGGGTCATTTGTTGTTCTAGTGTATTATACCTTGTTACAATCAAAATGTCAAAATGTTTTGGAAATATTGACCTAGACACATATATATAGCAAGCACATATATAGATCAAATTTCATTTTTAAATGGCAATTCCTATATAGATTTTTATGCCAATTGCAGTAAGTCCATTGTGTATCATGCACAGAAAAAAAACCCTCTAAATGGGAAAATACTTTGATTCATGCATGTGCTTGCAACAAGATTAATATAGTCTAAGTATGCAAAAAAAATTCTTGTTATATACTCATATGATGACAGGTAAAACGTGATTTGTCTGAAAACTCTCTTACTTAAAAGACCTTTAGAAGGAGAACTCTCCTGTCCTGAGGACACAGTACAGAATCCATTTAAATATATTGTGGGTTAACACAGATGGGAGCTAGGTGGGTCAAATGCTTTGATTTAACAAGTGTAAGCTCCCGGGTAATGGTTAGGTTGTCTTAAAACACTATTCTTAGATTTGAATGTATCATAAGCACATTTTTAAATAGCATAATCATTTTATGATTAACGACCAGTCTCCCTGTCACATCAATAAAATCACCTGCGCTAATAAATGGAGGAATATATGTAAAACTTGCACCTTTGTGTCCCGAGGACTGGTGGATGAGACTCACCAACATTTCAATTCTCTTTTATCTCTGATTCATACAACATGGAATTACAAAGTGATAAACTTGAGAATCCTTTGATCAATGTTGGCTTAAATGTGTTTTCAACTATTCTGTAATTGCTTTCCCACAAATACAAGTTGAAAGAAACGTTATCAGTGACATTGCCCGACACACCTGGCATTTGACAGGTTTGGTCTAAAATACGAGAAAGACCTGACTTAATAAGTATGGAATGTGTACTGACTCTGTGAAAAGGCAATAGGTATGAACATACACGCGTATCTGCTAACAGAACATTCATTAGATTTAGCTGTCTGACCCAAGATCCGGTTAACCATGCAAATGGAATTGACAGCTTCCCACAATGGAATACTATGCTCTCTCAATACATGTTAAAAAATACTTATTTGTTATGCCCTTACACTTCTTAATGTGGTGTTTTGTATAATGCCTTCTTTTGTTCAAGTGCAACTCTATAACTTTTCTTCTTTTCTGTTGTAGTAACAGTGACAATACGCTGTGTATACCAACAGGCAGTACAGAGAAGTCATTTGATATTGCTGTAATCTAAGTATCTATATGACATGTTTTGGGCTCAAAGTAATTTCTTTTTAAAACCAGTGTTGCAATTTAGCATTAAATAATAGTGCTGCACTTTTACACACAAGACAAATATTTTATGTTGAAATACGTCATCTACGTAATAAATTTAATCCCTTTATAATTAAAAGTGACCTTCTTTCTAATTCAAGCCTTTTTTAATGAAAGCCTTCTTTTAATCGTGATTTATAATGAGCCTGCAAGTATATTGTTCTTCATCCAAGCCAAAAGACATAAAATATAATGTGAATGATTTGCAGGGAACAAAATCTGGATAAAATTAAGCAACATATTAGCAGCAGTTTTAATGGAGCTGTGGCCTGTATAGTAAGTACTCCCACTATAGGCTGTCATTTAACCTGTGATGACCTATAACATATTATTTAAAAATGGCCGCTTGTGGTAGCAAGAGTTCTGAGGTCAAGTCATCAAGTCTCATTGACAATAATTTTTTGAACTGAGCAGAGGGTAATTGAGCAGAATACCCCAACTGTTCACTGAGGCCTCTCTGTTACAAAACTTCTCTGTAAAACACAAGCCATTCATGACAATGGGAAACGGAGGATTAACATTTCCTGTCTAGCGAGAATAGATTGTCTTTTACAATGAAACTATGCTGATCAGCCTGGTTTATTTCCTTTCTTTAAAAAGTTAATAAGGATATCATTGTAAATGCTGTAAACATAAATAAGGAATTGTAATATTTAAAGATGTATGCTTTTTATCATATATTTTGCATACTGTGATCAGAAGCTGGCCTCTATGGCCTTTCCAAGAATACAATGAATCCCTTGTTTAAATGCTGGGTCATGCTGGTTAGACTGACATGTGACAAATGTATAAATTATAAGTCAGTACTGGTTCAGTGTTATCCATGCAAAACTAATTATATGTTCCTGTGACCTCAAACATCACAAGGCTAGCACAACGTGAATCCAATAACACTGGATGGTTTAAAGTTGTGTTATTGCTTTTCTCGAATGATCAAGTGCTCGTTTGTCATGATATCAATGAAAAACTAACATTCTACAAAATGAGGGCATTGTTTCTGGCTATAGCACACCTGATGTCAGAGAATTAAGGGGTTAATAATATCTTATTTAAAATGGAATATATACTGTTGTACATTTTAGAAAGAAGCTGCAGGGTGCCCCAAAAAATTATAAAAGAAAATTAACTAATCTCTTTAAAATCTGGCCAGTGAGAATATACTTTAGATGACAACAATAGCAAGGCTGAGTCACCCCCTTTTACCTCAGCCCATTATTGCCAGCCAAACCTGAAAAGCTAATGCAGAAGATAACTTTCACTTCAGCAGAGAACATTAGTTTTAGGCCCCACGAGCGCCCTGTTTTATTTAAACGGCTCAAAATTGGTTTGACACTAACAGGGATGCCACAAATCATGGACTTTTGTACCATAACCAATACAATGAACTTTTGTGGTTCTGAGGAAATAGTGCCTCTTTAAATGCACACCTCTTTCTTACAACCCACCATTATGTGCATCTGTGGGAATTATAGGACTGTAACATGGAACTTCTGCTCCTACCTAGCTCCTACAAGATTTGTCCTATTCCCTAAACAGGACCCACATTTCCCTTGACTGTAACTATATGGCTCCATGGACTAAATGCCCTTGTGTTCTCATAACTAAGGCCGGATTTCCCATTAGGCAGAGAAGGTACCGGTAGGGGGCACTTATAATGTGCCTTTTCGGAACTTAAGTAAGTTGGTGGAAAGGGATAAGTACCAATATAAACAGTTATACAGGGTATAAAACTCAGTGTGGTCCCTGTTTTTTCACAGTCTGTTTGGACTGGACAGGAAGTGAAAGGGATAACTACCAATCTGCCCACTAACAGCCTCTCACACATGAACTACATTGCAGGATCAGGGACAGCATTAAGTGATGCACACTGTATAACAGCTCCTGCAGCTCAAGAATTAAGCATAGAAGGGTTATTACAAAAGTCATAGGAGCAAAAGTACTTTGTAATAACTCTTCAGACACCACATTCCCTAAACACCCATTTCCCCTGTCAGGCTCCCGCGGACGGCTGCGAGGGGAGGCTGCACTCCGCTCGCAGTACTCACCCTCCAGCCGTCCGCGGTCCCCTCCGCCTCGTGGGTACGGCGAGCGGCATCCTTCCAGCCTCGGATGCCGCCCGCCGTTCCCTCCACGTCCCCCAGCGGCAGCATGCATGACGCTGCACGCTGGGAGACCGCCCAGGGTTATACACGCCGGGGTCAGTCACCTGACCCGGCGTTAAAGGCAAAGTGCCACAATCACAGTGGGAGGTCTAAATATCTCCCACGTGTGATTGTTAATTCTGATTGGAAATCATCCAATCAGAATTAACCTGATGGTTTAAATACTTACCTTTCCTGTTCCTCCTTGCCCTGTTGTGGTCTTTGCTTGTTAGTATTGATTCTGAACTTGTGCTTCTGGTTACGTACTCTCTGGCTTGTTATCCGACTTTGTGACTTTCTCCTACCCTTTGACCTCGGCTTGTTTCCGTTATTCTGTCTTCTGGTTCCCCTTACTCGGCTTGTTTCCTGACTATTCTTTGTGTGCTTAGCCCGGCCACTCTAAGGTCCGGTACGGCACTTTGTGTGTGTGTGTGTGTTGGCGTGTTTGGTTCCCCGAATCGTGACATCCCCTAACCCTAAATGCAATCCCTTTTCAAAACTAAACACGCTCTTTCCTTAGTCACAAATTAAATAACTCAAACTAGAAAAAAAAACTTTTACCTTAATATTAGGTTTAACTCCCCATGTATGCCAATACTATATTTAAAGGGACACTCCCGTGCCAGGAAAACAATTAGTTTTCCTGGCACTGCAAGTCCTCTCTCCCTCCCACCCCCATCCCAAGTTGCTGAAGGTGTGAAAACCTCTTCAGTCACTAACCTGAGACCGCCGCCGATGTCCCTCGGTGGTGTTTTCTACTCGCCGCCGCTCCTCCTCTTCCTTACGTCAGCCGGTGGGCGAGACTGATCCCACCCTCCGGCTGAGGAGACCTAATGTGCATGTGTGGCAATGCCGCGCACGCGCATTAGAGCTCTCCATAGGAAAGCATTGAAAATGCTTTTAATGCTTTCCTATGGGGAATTTAGCGACGCTGGAGGCCCTCACACAGCGTGAGGACATCCAGTGACGCTCTAGCACAGAAAACCTGTGCTATAGACACAGAAGTGCCCTCTAGTGGCTGTCTAGTAGACAGCCACTAGAGGAGGAGTTAACCCTGCAAGGTAATTATTACAGTTTATAAAAAAACTGCAATAATTACACTTGCAGGGTAAAGGGTAGTGGGAGTTGGCACCCAGACCACTCCAATGGGCAGAAGTGGTCTGGGTGCCTACAGTGTCCCTTTAACTCCCTCCAACCCAAAATTGTAATATTTCTAAACATCTCTTAAACCACTACTGTGCCCCAACCTAAAAAAAGTCCTCCTGACACTAAACGCCATATGTAAGTTAAGGCTAACATTAACCCCTCTTAAACCTTAAATCCCCCTTAACCCTAGCCACATCTAAGATCTTTATTCAACCACAGCACTAATTTACACAGCTGCAGTAAACAGTATATTTTGTAGATGTTTTATGCTTACAATGTGCAGTTAACAAATAAATTAAACTCACTTCATCTTTTTAATTTGGAGTGTGGGGAGAAGAGGGGGGGGGGAGCAGGGGGATACCTAATTCTAACCTGCTCATACAGGTATGTTCTTGCATAACCACAATGGGTTATTTTGCAATTTTGCACTTGTATGTTCCAAAGCTACGCAGTCTCTTGCCCATGTAGACTATTTTTTCCAAACAATATTTTCTCATACTAAATAAAGGTGACTAGTCTGGTAAAATTAAGCATGCTTATTTTTCCAATGAATGGCAGAATTATGACGTTGACTCAGGAAGTCCTTGCAAGCTGCATGGAACTTTTTGTGGAGTTGTTTTTAAGTACTGACCTTATCTTCAATTCTCCACCCTTTTAGAGGAAACTGTCAAGTATAAAGCTATCTGTGTTAGCAAACTGTAACTTTCTATTCATAATGTGCATGGAGAAAATCAAAATGAACACTCTGGTCCAAATGTTTTATCTAAACTGTTTATACACTGGGTGGAGGCTGCAATTCATTTGCTGCCTGCTGTGATAATCCATGGATGACATCACGTAACTGGTACGTTACGTGCACAGTGCACTTGGCATATACATCGATGTATATATTTTACACCTAATATATTATTCAATAAACAATTACATGACCATCAGCTTGTAACATTTCTGCTGAAATAGTCAAAATAGTTTGAAGCATACCAGAGTTGGAGAATTTACCTAATGTGGACATTTTCATCTGAAAAGGGCAAGATAGTTGTGAACTCAACCTTTACTGAATAAACCTTTAAATGCAACACACTGGGATGTAGTCTAAAACTAAACTCTGAATTGTAGCAATTGATTATCTGCATGGCTAACATTCGGCATAAATCGATCATCTGACAAAATTATCATACTCAGCTTATGTTTTAGCTAGGCTATATTAGCCTGTATGTTCAGATTTTAATTTGCTGCAATATAGAGAGTAGTGTGAAACCTACTGACAATCAAAAGAGGCTTTTAATTGCCACGTTCCACAATTATCAGAGGCCAACCTTACTCTCAGAACACTGATCAAAAACATTTTTGAATTCTTAAATGGTATAAGACATTTTTGGTGCAGTCATTTTGGGAAGGTAATCATTATAGTTTATATTGGTAGCGTTATATTTGCCTTACTATTGTAACTAACTTAACTGATCGTCTAACATTTAAAATTGTTAGAAAAGTTTAAATAAGTTTATCGGGTTGCCTCGTATAGTTAAAACAACATCACCAGTTTACTACTTTAAAGGTTGAGTTGCAACTATGAAACAAGTTAGAATTACCTTAAAATGAGGACCCTTCCAGTTCATGCCATATGATGTGATATTATATTACTGTAATAAAGGTAGTACCCACCTGTATTTTTAGCAGACTCATATGATGTACCGCAGTTTCAAGCATTTCAAATGGACAAAAAGGGACACTTTAATTTTAGCGGTGTGAGTGGGGTGGCTGTTCTGAGAAATGTATATGACTTACTAATAAACATTTATGCAAGTAAAATGTAATTTAGAACAAGAACAATGTATCTCATTTACACAGCCTGAGTTCTAAATACATTTATAGTAGTTTAAAGACGTGTAACTGTGAGTATTATTGCTGTGGAACTCTGTTATACACTCAGACACACCGACAATATGATCTGTTCGAAAACTGGGACATTAGGATAGAAAATAGGAGCAGAAATATTTGGATCCAACATAGGGACTGTCCCTCTTAAATTGGGACACTTGGGTTGTATGCATAACTATGGGATAATATTGATTATTAGTTCATTCTAATTATCATGAAATGTGTTCTGCCATAGCATTGACATTGATTGTCCGTGAAAGGAAGATTAGTACTGATAGAAAAGTAGACAATGATACACAGGGTTATTTACTAAAGGGAATTCCAAATGTAAGCCCAGAGTAGCTGAACTGAAAGCATAGCTACCTTAGATAAGTCTTCCATGTTGGATACTTTGGTCTTAAATTTTAAATTCACTTTGAATTCACTTTTTAGTCTCATTTTCGTGAATATTGCATATAGTGTACCTTGTAAAAAAATTTTTATACTGATGACATTAACTTACACTGGTAGAGGGGATACCATCTTTCAAAACATTTGCAATGGTGTCTTTGTTGAGGCAGAACTAACTTGTCCTTATTTCATAAAGATTCCCGTGTTGCACCATCAAAGAAACACCCAACACTTACAAAATCACTTTTTTGCTCAATGTCGTGGATCAAGCTGACTTACACATTGTGTGCATTCCTTTACTTTTTTAAAGAAACACAGTTCTCCTTTTCATCACTGCTTAGATGAACTTTCATGTGTAATATGTACTCAACCCAAGGAATATGGTCAGGACTCAAGCTTTGGAAAGAAAATAAATAATTTGTAGGACGCCTAGAATAAAATCTATGTTATTTACATCCTAGGCTTTACATAGAGATTAATGAGTTAATTGGCTAGATTTCATTTATTTTGATGTTTGTGCCTTTTTAATGAATATTCCATGGTATCATCTGTGAGTAAGGGCATCTATAAATATGACATATATTAGTGACTGTGACAATGTAGGTTTTTCAACGGTCCTTAATAAAGAGTTGCACTTTTATTAAAATAGCTGGAACATATTTGCTACTGTTGACACTGTTTCGGCTGAGGCTGAACCAGTATTTATGGAAACATGGTACCAAGAACATCAATTTGACTTTTGACTTTCTTCACAGAATACCATTCCGTTGATTTCCATTATAGCTGTCTACTTAACAAAAAAAATAAAAATGCCCAAGACACCCAAAATGCTGGAGGCAAAACTATGGATCTCTTTCCAATTTCTATATTTGAGAAACCCCCAAACCATCATGGTAGTCTGTATTAGTCGCTCTATATTTAACACAGAAATCTGAGAGGAATAAACATATTCTAAAGGGAAAGGAAGGGGTGACACATATCCTGGCACACTTCAAAAGCACAATAAATAAGTGGGTAAATACCCGTACCTTTTTGTATCCTGCTGTTTCCCATGCCAGTATAGCACTAAGTATAGAATTTTACCCCATGACATAATGACACTTATCATGATATGCAATGCTATATGTGACTGAGATATTATTCACGTTGAAAGGTGTGAAGTGTAACTAGAATGATTCCTGCATTTACATACTTTTATATCACATTTATAAGATTGTTTGACCTTTAATTTCACAATTTTCATTCATAAACAAGAAAGAATTTAGAGATTACATCCATTTTGATATATTTCCACCAATCCCCCAGTTCCATATTTATGGATTACGTTACTTAAGCTATGTCAACAAGTAGAAGAGAACAATAGCAATGTAGTTATTTCAAACAATTATATACATTAAAATATAAATAATGACTAGTCTCCAAACTTTGTGTGGAGATGTTTCAGAAAGACAATATGAAATTGTTTCAGTTCTTAAAAGCATCTTTCAGAACTCTGGTAGATATCGAGTCTAACAGGGAACTGAAAATTAAACATGAAATTTTGTATTGCAAAAAAAGACCAGAGGAAATAGGTAGTTCTTTTTTTGCTCAGAATTGCTCCACTTTGACAGGATGCAGATCTTCACTCTGAGGTTTATTCATTAAACACAAATTGTAGTTAACAGAATTGCACAATTTAGGCAAAATTTGCAAAAGAATACCACCTCAACTATTTTAACCTAGATTTTGCACGAAAATCTAAACATTTTAAATATTTTTTTCTCTTTGGTATATATCAAGAAGGAACCTTCAACCTTCAACCTTCAACAGACATGCAAATGATTTTTGTAAAAAAAATGTGCAGAAAAAATGTAATTAGTTGACTCAAGACAAGGTGCTGCATCAGGTAAAAAAAGTTAATATAAATAAACTTTCAAGGCCTGATGGTATGCATCCACAAATACTTAAGGGGCTATGTGTAAAAATAAGCAAACCTCTGTTTTTAATCTTTCAGTATTCTTTTCTTTCAGGAATGTACTAGAGAATTGAAGAAAGGCAAATGTGGTTCCTATATTCAAAATGTTTCATAATCTTTGCCTGAAAATTGCAGACCTGTAACATCTGTGGCTGTGAAGTAATTTGAAGGGTTATTACTGGATAATTGGGAACATGAATTAATTTGGAACATCATTATTAACATCATTGTTATTAGTTATACAATGTAAGCTATATTGGAAGGCAGGGAGCCAGTAAAAATCCTGGGAAAGAGGGAAATGGAGTGGGTATTCCAACCTAAAACCCTTTCTCCAGATGGCCTCAATCTCGAATTTGATCTTTTTAAGGATCCCCTTTCTCCCTATATGTTAGGTTATTAGATAATCCACACTGTAGTAGAGCAGCCCGCAGCTGCTGTTGCAGCTGCTGTCCTTGACCTGTACCTGGCCAGCCTGGTCCCCACTGGAACCCAGGGAAGCCACACACACTGCAAGATATACACAGAAAAGCAGAATAACCCTCCCCTCATACAAATAATATGAACAGCCCACACACACACAAACATACACACAATCCGCACAAACGTAACCCACTAAAAGTCCACATACACGCACACAACCCCATATGCAGCCTCTAACATGTAATACCCCAAACACCCCCCACACACTACCAAACACACAATGTGACATATCCATCCACACACAATTCCACAAGCAACCCTCATACACAGCTCACATTCATATGTATCATACACAATACCATAAACTACTAATGAACATATACAATATAATAGCTTATACACGCACAAATACAACGATACAAAGCAACTGCAATAAAAATAACACAAGCAGAATACGGCAGCATACACACCTCAATTTAAAAAAATAGGACCAGCACGCTACAGGACATCACCATTCTCTATCGGCACAGTGCTGCTAAAAGGTTGCCTACCCCTGTCCTAGAACATCCCCCATTGGGAAAGTCCCCGCCCAGCTGCAACTGAGGTTTGCCACCCGGTTAGCCGTATCACGCACACGCGGGCTCCCTGCAGCCTACATCTCCCAAGCTTCATTGCGGTAAAACACGTGACGCAAGCGTGTCATCTGGAATCCGGAAGTAAGAACCTTCCTTTTAATTATTAAGTTTTATTACCTAAATAAGTTCATTTTAACAAATTTAAAAGACTTTTTATATTTTATAAAAGATAAGTATTATTGTAATAATACCTATATTCTGTTTCACACTGTGTTCGTATAATTCATATGTCTTAGAAAGATGACGTAATTTTGGTGCCAAATTTGAAATTGTTAACTGATTTACAGCCTATATATACTGTTCTGTACCAGGTCTGTGTTTTTAAATTGCCAGTTGATAAAGCCCTGTGTGGTGAAACCCGTTTTGGCTATTTTTATTACTCTTTTAATGTATTAATAAAGGAATATTGGCTATTATTCTGCAGTTGCCATATACCTTTGTTTTTATCCCTACTTTTAAAGTTTTTTTTATTTTTTTTATTTTATAATTTTTATTTATTTGTACCTGGTCATTCATTACATCGAATCACTCATCCGCTCAAGAATCCCAGGTGGGGATTATACCACCTACACTATAAAAGTATTCCATGTTCTTATTTCTATCTGCTGTAATATAAATACAGTGAGCACCATATTTGTTTTATCTTCCTTTCCACACTGAGGACCTCTTCTGTTCATGAACACCTATATCCTACCAGTGTGGGATCGACGCCACTGAATGCGAGTTATACCTGAGCTAGTTCCAGCTCTCCAATAGGTGAGTCCAATACCTTCCTGCTGTGAAGTTTGTATTTCTACGTATTTTAAGTCGCAGTCTGCACTATTGGAATTTTCCCCTTTTTATCTACATATCTCCATCCGGGTCAAGAGAACCAGATCACTTTTCAGCTCTACAATCTGCATAGACCGCCACTACACTCAAGTCCCTACAAGTGGACCTGGCCTTCCACATGCTCATTTGTTATCAGGACTTATTTCTATTTTATCTGATATATGTAAGTACATACTGTGTCTCTACTAGTCTATAGCATATTGCGGTGTTATTTTCACCATTATTCTATTTATTTTGATTATATCCTTTTCAGTGGTTTTTGGCGGGACCTATAATCTTTACTCTGTAGATTTATCCCTTTTCTTTTGACGATTTGTGAGGGAACGTCATAATTTTAGGTTGCAGCCTTTTTACATTCAGTCTCAGTTTTCTATTGATCACTAAGCGCTGAACCCACTACCTTGTATCTAGGACAGTGAATAGCATATAATTTTGCTTTTATATAAATCAGTTGAATATGTTGTGCAATTTTAGACACCCATTCTAAAAACGTATATGATGCCACTAGAAAAAATGCAGAGGCAGGCTGCAAAACTAACAAATCGGATTTTATTTTAGTTATGAAGAAAGGTTAACGTACTTAAATCTATTTAGTTTTGAAAAATGGCACCTCAGAGGGGATGTAATAGTATTAAACATATATTTGGGGCCAATACAAACCATTGTCTGAAAATCTATTAATATACATGACCAGACAAGAGGTCACCCACTTAGACTGGAAAAAAGGAGATTTAGTCCAAGGCAAAGAAGAGGGGTATTTACAGTAAGAACAATAAGGACGTAGAATTATCTACCTGAAGAAAAGGTTTTATCCAAGTCTGTACAGATGTTTAAACAGCAACTGGATGAATTCTTGCAAAAGCATAATAGTCGGGGATATAATTTTTATGATAGGTAACAGCATTTCATTCTGGGTTTGAGAATAATTTTTTTTCCTAGTTTGTTGCAAAATTTATAATCTTTTTGAGAAAAATAGATTTGAGAAAAGCTGAAAAGTATTTTTTCAGGCTATAAATGTAATTCACTAAAATTCAGGGTTTAATACATAGAAATCCTCTCATTATGACATCCCCAGAGGCATAACTAAAAGCCACACGGCCTTGGTGTAACAACTGATGAAGGGCCCCCATCCTTGCCCCAAGTGTCGTGTGTGAGATGTTGGCTAGGTATAATGTATGTGTCGGTTGTATGTAGAGGTGTGTGTGGTTGGCTGAGTGTGATATGTATGTGTGGAGCTGGCCAAATATGATATTTCTCTGTGTAGCTAGCTGAGAGTAATATATGCATGTGGCGTTGGCTGAGTTTGGTATCTATGTGTGAGGTTTTGCAGAGATGGATGTCTGTGAGGATGGCTGTTGAAGGTTGGGTGGGCAGGCACCTTACATAATTGTGTAAGTATTTAATAAGATTTAAAAAAAATATGTTTTCTTTAACCCCCCTCCTGCTAATCTTTCAACAGGGATGGGGTATGATTCCAGTTGGACCAGTGGGGATATACTCATTGGGGATCTCATGTGGTCCAGTTTTGAAGGTATAGTGGAAGAGCATGTGGTCTGCGCCTCCAGCAGGAATGTGCACCTGAGCACCCAGACTGCAAGGGAGCATTTAAAGGGGTCTGCACCTACCAGAGGAGCAGAGGTAGAGTACTACCTAGTGGGATTTCATTGTAATTTAATATATTGCCAAACAGGTAATAGATTAAATAGCAGTTTTGCTATGGGTGCACCTGCCCAGCCTGGCCACTTCCTGACAGACATAAATAACTGGCAGAAAGGCCTGGTCGCAATTGCAACTGTTGCAACTCTTGTAGTTCTGCCAGTGAGGTTTATAGATGCTGCAGTTCAGAGTTTAGTGAACAATCCTTTTGTTTGTGTTTGCACAAACACATTTTTCAATTTTTTCCTAGTCTTCTCTTCTTGCAGAGGCATTAAGAGCCAGTTATGAAAAAAAATATTCTGCAAATTTTATTATGCATTCTTTTTATCAATGCATATGCATCATGCTTTATTTAACCCATAGTGCTCTTAAAAGATTGTCATTAGTATTTTGGAAAATCTGCTCAATGATGTCAGGTTATGGCATTTTACACTTGCCCGTGGTTTGGAAAGAGAGTAGATACATCTGAATACTCCTTTAAATTGTGTACAAAGATGGGACCAAAGTATGTTTTGTTTTTTTTCATTTATTTGTCATGTAAATGTTGTTTTTTAATAATAATGAAAATTATATGATTAACTTTATATAAATCTTTACATCAACAACAGACTTCATTTCTGGTGGTTGTGGTTTAATGGTACAGAAGATTTTCTTTTCTTGGTACACATTAGGTCCATTAATGCCAACTGGACATGAGATAAATTCCATATCACTGCTTAAATTAGGTGCTAGCTATGTGAATCCTTTTATGGCCACTTATCAACCCATTTCCAAATAGATATTTCCAGCAGAATAAATCAATAACGGTTATTGGATATAACTGGTTATTATTTTCAATATTACTATTTGTTTAAATTTCATGCAATGTGGTCATTCATATGAAACATGAATGAGTGAACTGCAATATGGACAAAATGACCAAGCATCGAAGTGAAAGTGGACAAAAAAAAATAAATCATCCATGCTCTTTGTTCATTCGGTGCTCATCCGATTACACGGCGGGAGGTACAGACACCCTACTTGTTATTAGATCATTTAAAATAGATGTGGCAGAGGGCTCTGCTTCCCTTCCCCTTATTTCCTCCTCCAATGAGTGGAGGGAAAGCTGCTCATTGTCATAAAGACTAACGATGGGGCAGCTATTGCTGCCCATTCGTAAATACAGTAAAAAAGGACCTGCCACAGACAAGTCAGCCAATTGGATTGACCTTATTGATATTGAATAGCATAGGAGAGCCCTTATTAGACTTCCCCCGCTCTACAAACTCGGTCTGCACAGAGCCCTCAATGAGTTGAAGATTGATCTATTTTTAAGTATTATATGAAGTTTTTTCCCCAGCGTGTTTTTTTTTTATTATTCAACATTATTAGGGTTAGGGAGTAGGCAGATATTTTTTTTGGAGCCAGACGTGGCTGTGGTCTTGGGACCCCTATCCACAGGGGTGGTTCTCTTATAAAACGTGTTCTAAAGTAGTAAAAGTTGGTCAATTACCATGGAAACTAGTTGAATCAGCACGCACATCCTGTTGATGACCCCTCCCCTTTAACATTTTTGCACCACTTTTTAGAACAGTACACTTAAATAAATATTCCCCAAAGTGTCAATTTACCATCCTCATTAATAATGTGTGCCCTTGCTCTGCTTGGACTGAACTGGATTGTAATTTGCTAAATCTTTAAATATAAATATCAATTTAAAAGAAAAATAAGCATCTCTTGAAAAACAAGATTAACACAAGTTTAAGTCTGTAAGTGATTTAAATGTTTCATTCAATAGTGAATTTCCAAGAGAAATGATAGTGTCCCTTTAAGTCACAAATGAGATTAAAAAAAAAAAATCCTTACAGAGTATTTTACCTCTAATTAAATGTGATTCAAATTCAAACTTGGGTCATATCATTATTTAGTTACAGAGTGTGTAAACAAGTGTGTGCATGTTTGTGGATGTGCCAATTTTGCAATGAAAACCTCTTGTCTTCCCAATTTTCCCTGTGAGCTCACTCTTTATTTTGGGATATCTTCGTCTCCATAATGCCATAATGGATGTGCAACTAAAACAATTACATAGCAGACAGTTGCATATTATGAAAAGGTCAGACTGTTGAAGAGGTTATACTAACAGGCTCATTGTTTCATAGTTCAGATATGACAGATAGTGAATACTAAGTAGATCGCTGGGCTAAGGATTCTGTTTCTAGACAATCAGGGAAACCCCATATTTCCTGTGATGTGTCATTGTCCAGTCAATCACAGAGGAAATCAGGGTGAAAATGTCTCCAATACTATGTTAAGGGCTGGAGAGAGTTAGAGGATTTACCATTGGGGTTAAAAGTTTATATAACAGATTTCCGAGAAATAAACTCCCACTCTCATTTCTCTGTTTATCTATTTCAGTGTATATTAACTTCTTTTTTTATTGTTACTAAACAAAGTGAAATTACTCATGACAATTTTAATGCTGATACAAATGTTTTAGTTTATTTTAAATCCAAGCATGCTTTGAAGAAGCACCAGTAAATCCACTCATCCTTCTAAAAATAAATTTTGTGCAAAGCGGGGTATTTGCGGAGGATAGCAAGAGTCGTAATGGGAAAAATTTTAGCAAGAAAAGTCAAATCATGAAGGTTATGTTACAAAAAAGGTCACGTATTTACAAGACATTTTACTGTATGTATTAACTGTTAATACCACACATAGTTTGATTAATTCACCACCCTTTTATTTCGGTCATTTTTATTATTAATCTTTTCAATATTTTGTAATTTTGCCGTTTCTCTAATTATATTTTATGCAGCAGGATTTAGAATATATACACAACTATTAACTATAAGTTGATCTGTAAGGAAATTCCTAACACTTAATCCTTACATACATTTATATGACACAAATAGAATTCACAACTACAATTCAATCTTTAGATCTCTTATAATGATATGATAGAGGCTTTGTAATGTGGCAACTATAGCTTTTTTTCAGTATTACATATTTTTTTGTGGTTCAAATAAACTGTAAGCTCGTTTGTGCAGGGTCCTCTTCAACCTTTCGTTCCTGTAAGTTTTCTTGTAATTGTCCTATTTATAATTAATCCCCCCTCTCATAATATTGTAAAACGCTACGCTTCTTGCAGAACCATAAATATTATTTTGGTGTGTGGAGTGATCCTTTAAGTTATCATCTGATTTTTGTACCACTTGCACACTCTGCACACTTACATATTATTAAGTGTTCTTGCATAGCAAGACCACTTAATGTTATCTCACATATATATTATTATTCTTATTATAGCCAAATTTACCACCCTAACTCCTCCCACAGTTTTTACACTACATAGACAGTAATATACCGAAACGTGCGGATTGTTCCCGATTGGTGTGCTATTACTTTGTGGAACGTTTCGCCGAATGGTTCACGGAATATTGCGTTCTTGTGGCGAAATTGGTCCCATAGGAATGAATGGCAAAATGTTCAAAACTAGAGTGGAAGCTGGCAAAAGCTGAAAAATCAGGACATGATTTCTAAACTGCCACCACTCCCTCATTTTCAAGACCACCTACACAAATCTTATATCAAAACGTTCAGCTATCCCTGCTGCCACTAAAAATGTCCACGGCTAAGCCATAGTCCTGATAGTTTTCACAATATGACCATTTGTTTGCAACTCACCCCGTCCATTGACATTCATTGAAACTCCACTCTAGCCAGCTCAAATTTGAAGGGCAATTTCTTAACTGCAACTGTGCCTTCATTGTTAATATTTCAGAGATATACTATGCATCAAAATGTAGGTCTGGGTCTTGTGATTCTCACAATATAAAGCTCTTCGCTGTAGGATTTATACTTTTAAAAATACGACCGTTTGAAAATGGCAACCGCCAAAATACTCTGACCTGTGCCAGGCTGGAGCAGCAAGTGATGTCATAGACAGGGCCTTTTGTTTTTATAAATGTATGTTTTAATGTAACTGTGAAGCACTTTGGGCAACAACGTTGCAATTAAATGTGCTATATAAATAAATAAAAGTTGAAATGCATTTGTCACTCTATCAAGCTTGCCATGTGCACTTTTTAAATTTGATCAATCAATTGGTTATTGTAATGTTTACTATCTTTACTCACTCCGAACACTCCACACAGTTACTCTGCCCAGTCCAACCTTTCCACAGTTACTCCAGCCACTCCAACCACACAACAGTTACTCAAGCCACTCCACCCAGTTACTCTGCCCACTCCAGTTGTAGACTACTGGTGGAGGCAAGAACACTTCACACAATTTCCCCAGAAATTGTAGCTTTTCTAGTTGCAATGTACTTTTGTGATTCCAAACTACCTTCCAGCATACAACTTTATTTGTGGTCAAAATTCCCTATGGTCTTAATGAAAGGTTAGAAAATATAGCTTTAAATGTGAGATTCCATAGAACTTGCCTAAAACAATTAAACTAAAGGAATTCTAGCTAAAGGGTTATAACAGGAATGTGATAAAGTTATCTCTTTTGACAAGTATGATAATAATAAATGTTTTCATGGTCCAGAAGGTTCATTATAAACAGTGCTACTGCTAGTTAAAAATGATACATTTAGGGTGAATACTCTGCTGAGTCCCAGTCCAGGGGAGCCATCGAGGAGACACACAACAAAGACAAGAAACACATCCCTGCACAGGGCATAGACTGAAGGGCCTGCTACTATACCTCTCAGTGGACTTGCTTCACTTACATCCAGAGGGCATACTTCCAACTGTCGCTGCATCGACTACTTATATCAAGCAACTAAACATGTCGCTGTATGGACAATATAAAACAAGTAACTCATGTTAGCCATACATTTAGTCTATATCACCCCTCTGATGGACAAAACCCATGATGACCGCTACGAATAGCACTAAGAGAAATGACAGTTCCCTTGTTTTAATGTCTGCCATTTTACTTTACTTTTGTTTAGTTACTGTTTTAACAACAACTTATTCCCAGTGTTTTCCCACCTTGTTAACTAATGTTAGCGCAAAAACATTTACAAGCATAGACATGCCTAAATAATCAGATGTTTATCTGCTTAAAGGGACACTATAGTCACCTGAACAACTTCAGCTTAATGAAGTTGTTCAGGTGAGAACTATAGCTCCCTGCAGCCTTTCTCATGTAAACACTGTCTTTTCTGAAAAAATACAGTGTTTACATTGAAAGCTAGGAACACCTCGAGTTGCAGTCACTCACAGTGAACTAGAGGGACTTCAGAGTTGATGGAGGCATAATATGTGTGGTGTTAACACTATAGGGTCAGGAATACATGTAGTTGCACTGGTGACTATAGTGTCCCTTTAACTCACATACTCTCCGATCTTAAAAAAAAAAAAGAATATAATTTTTTTTTAAAAAATTATACATTTAACCAGCAGCAGAAAGTGAATGTGTCTGTGGAACATATGATTAATCATATACACCCTGCAAATAAAACATTCCTGCAGAACTGCAATGTTTTCAGCTGCAGGCTTAATATGGGGAGCACATGGCACCCAGACCACTTAATTGAGTTGAAGTGGTCTGGGTGCCTATAGTGTTCCTTTAGGTTTTGTATACTGTAGCTATGGAGCTAGTTTCTGCTGCTGCAGTAAATGCTACGTTTTTGATCAGTACAGATTTGTCCATCAGTGCTATATATTGTCCAATCAGAGGCTTCTTAATGAGCTTTGCTGAAAAACCGAGCATGCGCCCAACTAGCCATTTATACACATCACAATGAGATGTATTACAACTCAATTAGAAGTACTGTATATACTCGTGTATAAGTCGATCTCGTGTATAAGTCGAGTGCAGTTTTGTGACCAACAATTGTGAAATATGCTATGGACAAGTTGAGGGTAAAACTTGGGGCTATGAAATTCTGTGATTTTTATAATTTTGTCAGATTTTACCTAGGTAAGATCCTGGAACATAATCCTGTATATAATGCAGAGTGTGTGTGTATATAATGCAGAGTGTGTGTTTGTATGAGTGTGTATATAACGCAGAGTGTGTGTTTGTATGAGTGTGTGTATATAATGCAGAGTGTGTGTGTATATAATGCAGAGTGTGTGTTTGTATGAGTGTGTGTGTATATAATGCAGAGTGTGTGTGTATATAACGCAGAGTGTGTGTTTGTATGAGTGTCTGTATATAATGCAGAGTGTGTGTTTGTATGAGGATGTGTGTATATAATGCAGAGTGTGTGTTTGTATGAGTGTGTTTGTTTGAGTGTGTTTGTATGAGTGTGTGTGTATATAATGCAGAATGTGTGCATGATATACACATACACTCATACAAACACACACTCTTCATTATATACACACACACTGTGAATGCAGAGTGTGTGTGTGTAGTGTGTGTGAACTGGGTGGGGGGGAGGGCATTTTTATTATTATTATTTTTTTTTTTTATATATTTGATTTTTTTACTTTATTTTAATATTATTATTTTTTATTATTATTTTATTATTTAATATTTATTTTTGTCCCCCCTCCCTGCTTGTTACCTGGTCAGGGATGGGGGCTATATGATTCCCTGGTGGTCCAGTGACACGGGCTGTGCAGAGGGGGAGCCGGCAGCAAGCTGTTACATACCTTTGTAGCAGCTCCGGTCAGCTCCCTTCACCTCCGTGCAGCTCCCAGTGTAAATCTCGCGGTCTGAGTGCCACGCTCTGACGGCCGCGGGTGTCACGAGATTTACACTGGGAGCTGACAGGGGAGCTGCCGGAGGTGAAGGGAGCTGACCGGAGCTGCTTACTCTTCCCAGCAACAAGTCCAAAAAGAACCTGGTTCGATTGTACCAAGCCCGAGAAATCGTTGACTAACGTTTGACTGGCCTGGTGCTACTTTCTGGTCCAGCATAGAGTTCCAGGCTGTCACGGCTAAATGCTGGTGTCCGAAAAAAACTGTCTCTGTCTTTGGAAAATGGGGCACCACCTTGCCTTGGTGAGCATTGATAGTTTATCCTCTTACCCATCTCCCCTTCATAAAGTGCTTTTCTGGGTGCTCTGATAAGGGCTCATGAGTAGTAGGTAGTTTCACCAGGCAGCCGTGTGGAACCAGGCCTAATTAGAGTTCCATGTGATTGGCGCTTAGTCATGCAGTCCAAGGTGGTAGAGTGAGCGCTCTTTGATGTATGGGTATGGAAGAGAAACCAGAAGCCAGTGAGTGACCAGCTTTCTTAGGGGACAATGTATTTGGGAGTCTTGCACCAGTTAGTCCTGAGGACTGGAGTAGGCTCTGTCACAATCCCCACAACAATATACATCATATGTCTGTTAACATCTATTTTACAGTTCCAAGATAATAACTTATTAAATAACTTGTTTTTGAAGAGGTTCAGATGTCCTCCATATATTTAGCATTAAACTGTGAACTCACATGTGTGTGTATGCTCCCTCTATCCTATAGCCTATTCTAGAAGATTCCTGCCTATACATAAGAGGTATCATATATATCATTATTTCTTAGAAAAACATAAAAAGGAAATACAAATACTAACCACAAAGCACCCATATAGGAGCAAACCTGACGCATTTCACTGTTAACGCTTACTCGTAGATTTGACAAAGGGATTCCCTCAGTTACGTTAAAACGAAATAAAAATACTTGCCCTAAAGGTAGAACTAAGATCTAAAAATTGTAAAATGAGAAGTGTGGTGATGTGAATATACTATAATGTGAGTAGAAAATAAACGTTAGAGTAAACGTAGAGCTGATAAAACATGACGTGTTATAGGAGAAGTCAGTGGATCATCAATGAAACATACACAGCTAATGCTTGGAGAATACATTGCACATTTCACTGTAATATAATATGACAAAAGTGTCCTTTTCTCGTCATAAATGACTCATGTGATTGTCTCCCTCAGGAATTAATTCATTTTGTTTTTACACCTGGGGATAGTCTCATCCGAATGATCCGATATAACTACATTTCTTCTTCCTTGTCAGCATTAACGCAGTGTAATGATATGTTATATACACTGAGGCAACGCATCTTCTGCAGTGATAAACAAAGAGTAAACAAATGTCACACAAGCTGTAGCAAAGAAATGTAAGTGTATGGAACAAAAAAAAAAAAACTTTTTTTTTATTTTTTTAAATTTTGCTCTTTAATTTAATTTATTTATTTAACTTAAAGTAAATTATACAGACACATCACAAACGCATTGTGTTAATGCAACAACATAAGCTTAGCATTACAAAATATTTATCAGAAAATGTTTTGCATGTTTTGTTTACCTATATTTCACTCTACCCGTTGTACACACCTGCAAACTATTGTAAGGCCACGATAAAAAAGAATGTGCGTGTGTGTGTATGTGGTTGCCAAAGTCTGTATTATCACCTAATCCCCTAAAAGGAGGATCAAGACGTTCTGCAGTGTGTGCTGGGCTCAATGAAAGCAGAATGTGTGGTGCGTGGACAGATTTGGAACATCCTAGTGCTTTTTAGAAACAGAAGTAACTGCAGTAGAGTTATGGTTGGGATTACCTACAGAGGAATAGCTGTGTTCTGTAAAATAAAAACAAATCCATCAGGCAAAATGACATAAATACGGGACATTGTGTTCAGACTTCATCTAATGGCACACAAATAAAGCAAATCCTTTCTTTTATGTATTCTTGAATTTTAATAAGGAGTCTGTGTGTCTATAAATACACAAATTTTATTATCAATAAAAACCGTGCCTGGAATTCCGTATTCTGTTTAATGTTTCCAATGAGATCAGTGTTGGAATGACTGTGGATCTAAATTTTAGCTGTACAAGTGTAATGAGAGAGAAGCAAGCCAGAAATGTTGGTTCCTCAAGCGATGCGCAAGCGATGTAATTTAGGGTCACGTGGCTACTCATATAATCATGCAGCGATTTACATATACATAGATAGTATTCAGTTATGTATTTTATTACTTTCTAGAATTTAGGCAGTATAACTTCTAATTTATGTGTATAGTTACCTTCTTTGTATCCCTGGATACATTTCGCGCCAAGATTACTTTTTGCCTGAGTAATATTTGGATGTAGAAACATAGACATAGAAACATAGAATGTGACGGCAGATAAGAACCATTCGGCCCATCTAGTCTGCCCAATTTTCTAAATACTTTCATTAGTCCCTGGCCTTATCTTATAGCTAGGATAACCTTATGCCTATCCCACGCATGCTGAAACTCCTTTACTGTGTTAACCTTTACCACTTCAGCTGGAAGGCTATTCCATACATCCACTACCTTCTCAGTAAAGTGATACTTCCAGGTATTATTACTAAACATTTGCCCCTCTAATTTTAGACTATATCTAGGGTTTATAACCCTATGAATTAAGAGCTTTTCACAGCTGTAAGTCTTTAAAACCAGAATACTTTGTGCCTTTAAATGACCATTGATGTTCTGTACATACATGATAAGGGTTAGCTTAAATAGAAACCTTTTTTCAATTTACACACAGAAATACTGTACATCAAACTGTGGCATGGCAAACAGAAATTGCAAAAGATCAATTCTGTGTTAAAAGTATAAAGAGGGGGGGCGTGGCCTGACACCGAGCTGCATGGACGCATCCTAACAAAGCTCCTGCTACCGGGTGATCCAGGGCCAAAATAATCGGGCTGAAAAAAGAACAATCAAGATTTAAATATAAAGCTACCACTCCCGAACCTGCAGGGATGTCACACAGGCACAAAAATAAAGCTGCAAAGGCAGATCGCGCCTCCTTCTTCCTGGCCAAGTCGGCGACACCACACGCACGAGAAGGCCGCAGCCCGGATGAGGATGGCGGTACCGCTCGCTCCGAGGAGGATCCACCTTTATCCCCAATGTCCTCAGATACAGGACCGGAGGACAGCCCGCCTACAACCCAGCAACTGAAAAGAATGCTGTCGGAACTTACTGACACTATCCAGAGGAACATGGCGACGCAGATACAAACCCTCACCGCAGATCTCAGGAAGGAGATTATAGAGGTGGGCCAGCGTACTGCCCAGATAGAGAAGAGGATGGATGATTACGCTGAAGCACATAATGGTCTCGCGGACAAGCTGCATGAATTAGACACCGTCCTACACGACCATGCGGTCAAAATGGCCGACATGGAGGACAGATCGAGACGCAATAACTTGAGAATACGCGGTATCCCAGAGTCAGTGCTCAACCCTGCACTTCACACCTACCTGTTAGACCTCTTCCAAGCACTGTCACCGGAGACACACCTGGACCAGCTCATCATCGACCGAGCGCATAGGCTGAGAAGACCGAAACACCTCCCTAACTCCACCGCGAGGGACGTGATAGTCCGTGTCCACTTTTACCATGCCAAGGAGAGGCTGGTTCGAGTATCCCGCACACCAGGCATGCCAGATCCATAGAAGGACTTAAAAATCTTCACGGACCTGTCGGCAGCAACCCTACAATTCCGAAAAAGCCTGACTCCCCTCACAACAACGCTACGAGCAAAAGGAATTATATACCGTTGGGGATACCCCGCAAAATTGCTCATCCAGTACCAAGACTCACTGCACGCCGTACATTCGCTGCCGGCTGGCAAAGAAAAATTTAAGCTGTGGGGACTCCCGGTTGCCACAGCAGACGACCATAACCAGGCAAAGATACCTCGGATGTCCCCTGAGTGGACCCCGGCCTGAACAAGATCACTCTGCGAGGCCTGCCTCTTCTCCCGAGGGGAGAGTGTTAAGTATGCCTAACACTTACTGCGGCCCACAGCGCAGTCACTAGGATCTATGAACTGTTGATTACCAAATGTTACAAAAGGTTATGTTCTTACTTTTTAGTGTGTTACAGGTTAGAAAAAGATGCCTGCGGCACGAGAAAGCCTCAGCATCCTATCTCTTTAAGCCATTCAAAGCCCTAAGAGCCACATGTGAGCCACGACAACCACCAGGCTCATTTAATGTACCCCCTACATGGCAGCCAAGATCAGCTTGGCGTGCTCCAGCTCTCTTGTGTAGAGCTTAATCAGGGTTTACTCCCCCTACCCCACTCCCAGTTTATTCTCTCCCTAGTTCCCTCTTTCCCCGACCTATCCAGGTTTTCCTTAGCAGCCAGTAATATAATACAGGACGCAATATCCCGTAAAAGCAGTACAGTACGACTTAGCAGAAATGACCATGTAGTTAGGTTTGGGATATACTTGCTAGATGGTTATAGCTACCACACAGGAAATAATGCTGTTGTTACGCTAACATCGTTTCACCTCCACGCACCAGATGTCATAGCAATATTGATCCCCAACTATCATAAGAGTAGTAACGTATAATGTGAAGAGGTTGAATACCCCTGGGAAAAGGTGTTTATTGTATAAAGAATTGATAAAATCTAAGATTGACATTGCATGTATTCAAGAGACCCACTTTAAGAAAGGCTATACACCAAAGATCTTTAATAAACACTTTCCAACACAATACCATGCACTCTCAGTAAACAAAACAAAAGGTGTATCTATCCTAATACACAAAGACATCGCATTCACCAGCCAGAGGCAGTTTATAGATCCCCAAGGTAGATTCATAATTCTGCAATGTCTCATTAACGCAACCCACTACACACTGGTCACGGCATTCTTCCCCAATGAGAACTCCAACCAATACCTAAAGTCCCTGCTAACGAAAATTGACCAATATCGCCTAGGCAATTTATTACTATGTGGCGACTTTAACTTCACTCAATCACCCCTGGATAGATCAACTCAGAGGGGCACCAATACTAGATTGTCGCACGATAAGACCCACAAAAACATCAACAAAACACTCTCATTACATGATCTCTATGATGTATGGAGAACCCTTAGCCCTGAAACGAGAGATTATACTTTTTATTCGAGGGTACACAACTCGTACTCTCGAATAGATGGGTTTTTTGTTGATAGAGTTACCTTGCCCCTTGTAGCCGATTGTAGGATTGGGGAAATTACGTGGTCAGACCACAGCCCGGTCACCCTAGTACTGAAAGATGAATTCCAGTTCACAGGGAAAGGCAATTGGAGGTTAAACGACTCCCTATTGAACGATGAGAAATTCACCGCTAACATTAAAGATGAGCTTATAACCTACTTTAACCTAAACAAGGTTCAAGAGACCACGGCATCCACGGTCTGGTCCGCACATAAGGCGGTGCTTAGGGGCCTATTTATTAAACAAGCTTCACACATTAAAAGAACCCAGGACTCGGCAATGTTGGAATGCCACACTAAAATAGCGCAACTTTCTGCTTTAAATAAGACCCAGCCCACAGTAGAAACAGGGATGCAACTCACCCTGCAGTATGATAAACTAAGAGACTTGACGGCAGACAAAACTAGGAGGCTGCTCCATAAATTAAAAGCTACCGCCTACCATCAAAACGGTAAAGCCACCAAATTGTTAGCAGTGAGATTACGTAACAAATGCAACACACAAAAGATTGCACACCTTATAAATGATAGGGGTCAGAAAATACTAAATCCCAACGACATATCGCAAACCTTTGCAAGATTCTATGGCAAACTATATAACCTGCACCTCACGACAGGAACGGAAGATAGCATCTCTAAATATCTTAGTCAGATACACTTGCCACGAGTCACACTAGAACAAGCTATAACGCTCCAACAACCCATAACCTTGGCAGAGGTTAGCGCAGCTACCAAATCTCTGCCTCTGGCTAAATCCCCGGGAGCTGATGGTTTCACTAATGCCTACTATAAGAAATTTGTAGACACACTGGCACCCCACCTGTTGAGGGTGTACCAACAGGCCTCCGCAACAGGCTCCCTCCCTCCAGAGATGCATATGGCCACAATTATCACCATCCCAAAACCTGGCAAACCGGCAGATGAATGTAAAAACTTTCGCCCGATCTCCCTCCTCAATACAGATGCCAAACTCTACGCTAAAATTATAGCAAACAGGCTGAGCGGACTTCTGCCAGAACTGATTTGTGATGATCAAACAGGGTTTGTCAGAGGGAGACAGGGCTCGGACAATACATACAAACTGATGCACACCCTAGAGCAGCTCCGGAGGCCTGGCCGAGGGGGTCTGCTTCTAGCCTTGGATGCGGAAAAAGCATTTGACCGCCTTGGCTGGGCCTTCTTGAGACAAGTTCTAGAGAAATATGGTTTCCCCCACCAGACCATCACCCAAATTTTTGCACTATACTCGGCTCCGAAAGCTAGAGTTCTGCAAGCCGGGTTCCTATCAGACCCTTTCGAATTATCTAACGGGACCAGACAGGGATGTCCACTGTCCCCACTGTTATATGTCTTAGCCCTGGAGCCACTTCTGGTCGCGATTAGATCCCACCCCAATATTACTGGAATTCAGGTCGGATCTAGAGAAGTTAAGATAAGTGCCTTCGCAGATGACATCCTCCTCTATATGACCCAACCAATGGATTCTCTGCCTCATGTCATGTCCCTCATTCACGACTATGGGGCACAATCCTACTATTCTCTTAATACCTCCAAAACCCAAGCACTTAGCATAGGCGTACCTGAAAGTGAAATGATAGGCCTCAGAGGGTCGTACCCCTTTGATTGGAGGAAATATGACATTACATACCTGGGACTACTGTTTTCTAAGAAACACACAGAAACACGGGCAACCATGTTAGAACGTGGAGAGAATGTGCCCTACAACTTAAAAGATGGTCACCTCTCTATCTAACAGGGACTGAAAGAATAGTGGCAGTGAAGATGTCTATCCTTCCTAAACTGCAATATATTTTTAGAACGCTCCCGATACCCGTCCCACACTCCTTTTTCAAACTGGTACAAAAGGAGGTAGACAACTTTATTTGGGCTGGGTCTAGACCGAGAGTAGCCAGGAACCTTTTACATGCTCCTAAAAAGTTGGGTAGACTGGGACTACCAGACGTGAAGGCCTACTATCACGGATCCATACTAACCTCCTGTCAGGATACTGACAGGGATCCAATACGCAGAGTGCGGACAGAAGGAGGTACGTATACCGGACCTTAGAATGGCCGGGCTAACGTAGGGACAAAGCAAGAATAGTCAAAAGGTAAGCCGAGGTCGAGGGAGCCGGAGGACAGGTAAGCGAGATACAAGCCGAGTCAAAGGAGAGGAGAGGACAACAGGACAAAAGACAAGCAAGGGTCAAAACCGGAAACACAAGATAAAGAACGCGCTGAGTGACTAGCAAGCTAGAACCACGACAGGGCAATGAGCAGTAGTAAAGGTTTCCTTTAAATACCCTGTTACCTAAATAGAGACCACGCCCCCAAAAGGTCCGGAATAGCGGTTCCCGGCACTTTATGTAAATGCCGACGTCATGACGTCGACGCTAGCCGTCGCGTCATAAAAGGGGGAGGAGCTAGCGCGGCCGGCGCGAAAACGGCCGGAATATGCCGAAATGCTAGGGCAGGGAGCCCCTAAACAGAGAGGATGTCTTCCCTGGATTCAGCACCAACAGGTACCCTGACAGTACCCCCCCTTCTAGAAACGCCCACCGGGCGGATGGGACCGGGCTTAGAAGGAAAACGAACGTGGAAGGCCCGAAGAAGACGAGGAGCATGCACGTCTATACCAGGAACCCAAGACCTCTCTTCTGGACCATAACCTTTCCAGTCTATGAGGTATTGCAGCTTCCCCCTAGAAATACGAGAATCAAGGATGGACTTGATGATATATTCCTCCTGACCATCCACACGGACCGAGGATGGAGGAGCAGAGTGGGAGGAAAATCTGTTACAAACAAGAGGTTTCAATAAAGACACATGAAAAGAGTTAGGGATGTGTAGAGTAGGAGGTAGATCCAGCAAATAAGAAACCGGGTTGATCCTCCTCAGCACCCTGTAAGGACCAATGTAACGAGGAGCAAACTTCAAGGAAGGAACTTTCAGGCGAATGTGTCTGGTACACAACCAGACCCTATCACCCGGAGAAAAAATAGGAGCAGGCCGCCTACGCCTATCAGCATGTGACTTAAACACCGCGGAACTACGTGCAAGAATTTGTCGAGTCTGATCCCACAACTTTCTCAGGTTGGCTATATGAATATCAACCGACGGTATACCCTGGGAAGGAGACACCGACGGAAGAACAGTAGGGTTAAAGCCATAGTTCAAGAAAAAGGGGCTATTACGAGTGGAACCACAAACAAGGTTGTTGTGAGCAAACTCCGCCCAAGGAATCAGACCGACCCAGTCATCCTGGTGTTCAGAAACAAAACAACGTAGATATTGCTCAATTTTTTGGTTAGTGCGTTCGGCTGCTCCGTTAGATTGAGGATGATAGGCCGAAGAAAAATTCAGTTTGATGCCCAACTGGGAACAGAAGGATCTCCAAAAACGGGAAATAAATTGGGAACCCCTGTCTGACACAATCTCATTGGGAATACCATGTAAACGGAAAATTTCTCTAGCAAATATCACGGCCAGTTCAGGAGAGGACGGAAGTTTAGGCAAGGGAATGAAATGAGCCATTTTAGTAAACCTGTCAAGGACCGTGAGGATAACCGTATGCTTACTGGAAGCTGGTAGATCAACAATAAAATCCATAGCCAAACAAGCCCAAGGTTTGTTGGGAACGACTAAGGGCTGCAATAAACCACAAGGGAGATCCCGCGGAAGTTTATTCCTGACACAAACATTGCAAGCCTTGACAAAGTCTTCCACATCCCTACGTAAACCGGGCCACCAGAAGTCTTTGGAGATCAGGCAGTAAGTTTTGTGGATGCCGGGGTGACCAGCGAACTTGCTATCGTGGAAACAGCGAATAATGTCCACTTGGAATTTGGGAGACACGAACAAGCGGCCCACAGGAGTACGTTCGGGAGCAAGAGATTGTTCGTTCATAATATCAGCGAGCAATGGAGAGTGTATTTTGACATTGGTGTTGGCGATAATATTGACTTCAGGAATAATAGGGAACAAAGTGTCCTCTGTAGAGGTGATAGGTTCGTGCTGACGTGACAAAGCGTCTGCCTTAGTGTTCTTAGAACCAGGCCTGTAAGTAAGCATATAATTAAAGTGTGTAAGGAACATAGACCAACGTGCCTGCCTGGCAGATAATCTTTTGGCCTCCCCCATATACGATAAATTTTTGTGGTCAGTCAAGATAGTAACTGGGAGGACAGTGCCCTCTAACAAATGTCTCCATTCCTTTAATGCCATAATGATAGCTAAAAGTTCTCTATCACCAATGTCATATCTCCTTTCAGTGTGTGATAGTTTCTTGGAAAAAAAACCGCAAGGGTGCAGCGGCTTATCTAAACTTTGTCTTTGGGACAACACTGCGCCTATCCCTGTTTCAGACGCATCAACTTCAAGTAAAAAGGGTAGAGAGGTATCAGGATGAACTAATACAGGTGCTGAGGCAAAAGACTGTTTGAGCGTTTCGAAAGCAGATAAAGCCTCAGTAGACCAGGTTTTGGTATCGGCTCCTTGTTTGGTCATATTAGTGATAGGAGCGATAACAGAGGAGTACCCTTTAATAAAACGTCTGTAATAATTAGAAAATCCAAGAAATCTTTGTATGGCTTTGAGTCCCTTAGGTAAAGGCCAATCTAAAATCGATTTTAGTTTGGTCGGGTCCATCATAAACCCGTCTTTGGAAATTACGTAACCTAAGAAAGTTACCTGAGACTGGTCAAAGCTACATTTTTCCAATTTACAATACAATCCATGTTGTAAAAGTTTCTGTAATACCTTTCTGACTTGTCTATGATGTGAATTAATGTCTCTAGAATGGATTAGTATATCATCCAAATATACAATTACACATTCATGTTGGAATTCTCTAAGAACTTCATTGATCAAGTCTTGGAAGACGGCCGGGGCGTTACAAAGCCCAAACGGCATTACGGTATACTCATAATGCCCGTAACGGGTATTAAATGCTGTCATCCATTCATCTCCTTGTTTAATTCGCACTAAGTTATATGCTCCTCTCAAGTCAAGTTTGGTAAAAATACTCGAGCCCTTTAGTCTGTCAAAGAGTTCAGTAATCAAAGGAATAGGGTAAGCATTCCTGATAGTAATTTTGTTCAATCCCCGATAGTCTATACAAGGACGTAAGGTACCGTCTTTCTTTTCTACAAAAAAGAAACCCGCCCCCGCCGGAGAAGAAGACTTTCTAATAAATCCCTTGTCTAAATTCTCCTTGATGTATTCCTCTAAAATTAAGTTTTCCTTGGTGGATAGAGGGTATACCGTACCCCTGGGAGGCATAGTACCAGGGAAAAGTTTAATAGAACAGTCATAAGACCGGTGGGGAGGTAAAGTATCCGCCTTACCCTTGTCAAATACAGATTTGAGGTCTAGATATTGTAATGGTATCTGAACGTCTGTGGATTGGGAAGTGTTAGCAAAAGAGTTTACGGGGCAAACAGAAGTAACTCTCT